TCAGTCCTCCAACTCTGATGGGCCTCCACTGCTTCTGGTACCACCAGCAGGAGTTCACAGTTCTTTCCTCGCAAATGATGTTTTAGAAATTTCCTGAGCTCGCTCTCGCCTGCAATCCACTCGGGCATCTTGAGTTTGGAGTCGAGGTTATAGTAGGCCCCTCCCACCTCTCGAACACAGATCCAGTGCTGCCTTTTGAGAGGCAACTTCAGTGGACCCCAGCACAGGCTGGAGGGCAGATTCATGATGAAGCCCATGACGTTAGTGAGAGCAATGACACTGACATCCCTGCAGGAGAGAAATGGTATCAACCAACTTCCCAAGGTTCCCTAGCTGTAATACCACAACTGGCCATCTGCCCACTTATGCCGTGAGCCCCAGTACTGAAGGCTTACAGCACAAACATGCTGTTCTCCACCAAGTCAAGCCGGATTCAGATTACCTGCGCTTGTCCCACCAAACAGCTTCGTAGCCTTTGGTTTGAAGTGCTGCCATGATGACATTCACATCGTAGTTTCCATTTCCCAGCATGCTCTTCTTGTGAGGTGTCACCATGGTGTTTGGAGACAACCTATAAATGTGAAAAGAGAATGCTGAGACCTGCTGGTCAGCCTGACCCATCCTGGCCCTGCACTACCAGGGACAGGACAGCACTTTACACCACTGCCCCTGGAGGCTAGTCCCCGTGTTCAAGTGCAACTTCACAGCTTCTACTGAAGTATTTTGTCAATGTGCCACGAAGGAGTCCCACTTACGAACTCCCCAGCCTACTGCAGGCTTGTTTCTAGTGCTCATCTTCCTGCTCTGATAAAAGCCATTTTTTTTTCTTTTTTCATCATGCTGTCCTTTAGAGCAAAAAAACCTTTTTTTAAAAACATTGGAAAACAGTATTTGATATTTTCATTTGCATGGATATTAACTGTTGTTACTCTTGTTTTTTACAGTTTAAGTTCTTGCTATTTAAGGCCTGCACACTTGGTAATCATTAATCATTAAATACTCAAAGGCATACAGGGGCCCAGGGCCCAGCAGGTAACATTAACGTATGAAGTGGGGCTGGATGTAAGGCAATAAACAGTGAAAAGGCCTGTGTGACACTGGAATGCATGGCCCACCTGAAGGCATTCCAAATGTGTGGGTGCAGTAGCTGAATTTTTTTAAAAATTAAAACACAATAAATCAAACACACATGAAATTTTTGTGCCAGACAGACAAAACTCGGCTGCAGTCCCAGTTTGCCCACCCGGCTTTAAGCCATTTTTTTTTGCCAGGTCCCGTTAGCTACTCCATTTCAAGATGAGGTCTGTGCCAAAGGCATTTCCAATCCTATTATTTTGCTTTCGTAGGCTTATCAGGCCAGGAGCTAAGGAAAGGCCATTTGAAGGCAGGGTCAGCATGCCTTTGACCTCAAGGGGAGGAAGGGAAGTGTGGTGAGTTCCTGAAGACAAAAAGCATATGTCCAGGAGGCTGCTAGATGCCACCCCCAGAAGAGATTCAAGACTTAGGCCAAGGATGTCAACTCTAAAAACTTAAGTAATCTTATAAAGTTTTCTTTATCTATACACACCAACCATACTGATAGTTTTCAAACATAAAACATACCCTGCCACTGCCTAAAACCCTCCAATCTCACCCAAAGCACTTATATACACTCTAAACTACTTCCTCCGGCCTGATCCTGCATCTCATCTTGCACCTCTCATCACACTGACCTTTCTGTTCCTTGAGTACACAAAGCTCTTTCTCGCTTTGCACTCATTCACTGTTCTGCGGTCCCTGCTGTCTGCAACATTCTCTCAGTAGATCTTCACTTGGTTTGTTCCTTATTATTAGGAGCCTCCAGTGTTACTGCCAGAGAGGCCTTCTTTGACCACCCAACCTTAAGTTTCTCCCAGTCCCTTCCTCTTATATCAACCTGCTTTAATAACGCTCCTTGTCACTACCAGGCATGATTTTTCACATCTGTTTTTCCCCACTAGACTGACAGCGAGGGCCTTGAACATCCTGTTAACGCTATATTGCTAGGTCTTGAAGAGTACCTGGCACATGACAACTGCTCAAGGAATGTTTGCTGAAATGTTCTCTGTGTTTTTTTTTGTTATCCTATCTTTCCCTATAAATGTTAGTAGACAACTCTTAAAAGTAAAAGGGCTTACATTCTTAACTCCGGGGCTAGCAAAGAAATCTGCAGCCAAACTTTAGCTGTAGTAATAACTACCATTTATTGAAAGCCTCTGTGCCAAGCACTATGATAGATGCTTTAGTAAGTATTTCATTTAGTCGTCATAATAAACCTGAGAGTATGAATTATTTCTACTTTATAGGTCAAAAAAACTGAGGTTTGGTGATTTTAACTGACTTGCCCTTGAGCACTTACAAGTGACAGAACTAGGACTCAAACTCAGGTTCATTTGAATCCAGTTATGCTGTCTTACAGGGAGGACCCATGAATCAGAGTGGGAGGTGGTGGCAGGTTGAGAAGAGGAAAGGCCAGCTGGATCCCTGAGGCCTGGGGCTGAAACGCTGCTTAACAAGGCACTTGGATTAAATGAGAAAGCGTATGAAAGAGGGCCTAGCTCAAGACACAGCTGGTTCCTTTCCCTTCACCAATTTGTCAATAGCCTCCCATTATTTTCAGTGAAGTCTCTGACCAGTACAAGAATGAAGGCTCCAACAAAGAAAATGCTGAGTCTTCCACCTTTGTCACCATCTAACTCCTGCCAGGCTCAAACCTTACAGTGGCACTTTTCCAAGGGCGCTCCTGGAGATACCAGTTCCATGCTCACTGACAGAGCATCCTGGAAGGCATCCAGTACAGTAATGGCTGAATGAACCAAGTAGGTAAAACAGGTTCCCTGCAGGGATTCTTAGAGTCCTTAATATGCTAATTTTCACCTTGAGTCTCAAGGAAGGGGTGTTATACAACATGCTTCAGTCCCCGACCATATCTGACCACACATTTGTTTTGAGGCACATCTCACAGGACTAGTGTTCCAAAGCTCTCTCTTCCCTGTCCTTCATCTTCTACCTCAGATTCAAATCCCTTCCTATCTATTTTCACTACCTCTCCCTTCATCGGAGGCCCCTTGCCTCACACCTGGACTTTTGAAACAGGTTCCTGAATTGATCTCCTTGCTTCCAAACTCTCCTTCCACCAATTCAGCCTCTATGTTCCTGCTGTGTTCACCATCATTTCGCTCGCCCTTATACAGGAACTGACGAGAGCCAACTGCCTGGCTGGCCAACTCTAAACCTCCCAGCCCACTGGCTGGCTGTTGCCCTCTCAATAGGCTTAGTGCACATTAGTACCATGACCGTGTGGCCTCTATTCTTCCATCCTATTTCCTGTTTCAAGCCAAATCTTACAGCTTCTTTGAGCTCAATCTCACACCCTATCTCTTTCATGGAATCTTTCCTGGCTCCTCTGTGACAAAGGAGGCTGTTGGGAGGACCGCACGTATCTGAGTTCATGTCCTAGCATCATCAACACTAATTGTGAGATTTAATCTCCATGCCTGTTACCTCATCTGTAAAAATGGGAATGATTCCTACCTTATAGGGCCTTTAAAGAATTCAGTTATTTATACATGCTTCAGGAACCAAATAGTAAGTTCCTGAAGCAAAGGGGATGGCTCATGTATGCTGTATCACTCACAGCTAGGCAGTGGCAACTCAACAAACAGGTGCTGGCCGAGCCAATCAAGACAGGAAATGCTGAGAATGGCTTCCATCGCATTCTAGGGTGGTCTTTTGAATAAGTGGGGCTCATTCAGTACACCAACCACACCGGTTTTTTTTTTTTTTTTTGGAGACAGTCTTGTTCTGTTCCCTGGGCTAGAGTGCTGTGGCGTCCGCCTACCTCACAGCAACCTCGAACTCCTGGGCTCAAGCAATCCTGCCTCAGCCTCCTGAGTAGCTGGGACTACAGGCATGCGCCAACATGCCTGGCTAATTTTTTCTATATATTTTTAGTTGTCCAGCTAATTTCTTTCTATTTTTAGTAGAGACAGGGTCTCACTCTTGCTCAGGCTGGTCTTGAACTCCTGACCTCGAGCGATCCTCCTGCCTCGGCCTCCCAGAGTGCTAGGATTACAGGCGTTAGCCACTGTGCCCAGCCGAACAAACCACACCAGTTCTTGCTTTTACTTTAACAAGAATCAAGTGTCCACTGTTGTTAGCTGCTGTTATAGGCTTTATCACTGAATCCATCCAACAGTCTTGAGAATTGTAAATAAGGAAGCCTAGGTGCAAAGGTTGTAGTGACTCGCACAGTCAGGCACAGCTGGGGAGTGGCAGAGCTAGGATTCAGCCTCTAAGCCTAAAACGATCCCTACCTATTTCACACTGGTCCCACTGAACTCCACGGGGTCCTGTTCTGATTCCAATGGAGAGTTTTCTTGAGACTCCTTGGCAAACTGCTCAAGACTGTCTGAATGATTTCCACAGATAGTCTGTGCTCTTAAGTGACCCTCTCATTTTTGTCATCACAGCCAGAGGTTAGACCCATGAGATCTGAAGTGATCTAAAAGTGAAAAGATGGGCTCTAGTCCAGGTCTCCACTTCTGTCTATGCCCTCAGGTAAGTCTCTGGTCCTCTCGCGCAGTTACCACTGTGTCTGGCTATGGTGATGGTTTTGAATTTTAAAGAAAAAGGAGATGGGAAGATATTTCATCAAGATTCTTTTTCTCCCCTAATTATTTCTTTCCTTTTTATTGGGTCTGAAGAGATGTGACATTAGAAAATATGGCTCAGATCTTCCTGATATGTTTCTAAATAAAGCATGGATTATAGGGCTGGGCACACAGAAGTACTCTATAGATGTTAGCTATTATTATGTGTTTGCCTGGCCCTCGGACGAGATAATTCAATGCTCTAGAGGGTAATACTGGACAACACCTTTTCTCAATTTACAGTTACCATCCTTTTAAATGTGGCTTCTTCAACCAGCTCAGGGACCGTGTAATGGAGAGGCAGGAATATTTATCCTCTGTGGCAGAGAATGCTGGTTGTTCACCAGTATTTCTAATCTCTTTGTCTCTTCCAACTTTCATTAGATTTTTTCCCCTGGGACCAAGTTAGTTTTCATCTAGTTAGATCTTAATAGCTATTCTATTTGGGATACGAATGCATAGCTAGCTTCAAGAATATCTGATCACTGAAAAATTGGTATGAGTCTAGTGAAAAGGTTTCAGACCTGAACATTTTCAAAACAATCTAGGAAAGCTGATAGTATATTATTTGACTTCTATGTCCATTTTTTCCAAAGCTTAGACACACAGAGTATATGATAAAATGTATGAGGTCAAATATCCACATCTATATACATAAACATTGACATTTGCCCAGTTTCTCTAATCATTTCTCCAATTTCACAGGTTGAAATGGATCCTTTTCAAACAAATGACCTCTTTTTGCAGATGTTACCACTATGTTCTAATCCTGGACCAAGCTTCTGTCATACCTGACTCCTTTCTTCCCTGTCCTTGCTGCTGAATCATCAGCTTAGCTCTTTCTAAGTTCCTATTCATTTCTTTTCCAAGCATGAGTCATCTCATATCCACAACTCAACTGAAACTCCACCCTGCTTTTGTATTTCTCTTATCTGGCTAAAATTCAACTGTTAGGATGAACTTCCTCTTAACAAATAGAGCTTACTAACATTTCTCTCCCATTTCTACCATTCCTTAGCCACATCTTCAAAACAGCATAAGATCAAAATAGAGCATCTCTACACTTTTAAATTGCTCTGAATGCCAGTTTGAACTTCACTTAAATTTGTTCTCAAGGCCTACATCACACCATAGCTCTGAGCTGTGCTTCTCAGAGGCTGCGGCCTGTTCAACTTGTTTTCTCTATGGTGCCTAGCAGTGCCTGGCACTCTGCAGGCAGCTAGTCAATGTTTGTTTAAAAAATTCCATCTTCTCTCCCTTTGCTTTTTTCTCTGGCTTCCTTTCACACTTTTTTTGTTGTTGTTCCTACCTATCCACACAGTCTTTCCATATAAAATATACAGAATCCCACTTGTGGAGTAGGGACAGAGTATATTCTCTTACATACTGATATTTGCTTTCACTTTGAGGTGGATCTTTATGTTGTGCTGATAGGGAATTGAGGATTGCAGTACAATTTGCTAAAGCTTTAAAAGGAATAGGACCTCAGTTCCATGGGGGTGTTTAGCAAATATTTAGCATTCTTTCATTCAGGAAAACACAGCTGAAAGACTCCTGCTACTATCCATAAACACTTGATGATCACAGGCCAGATCTTCAGTCCTGGCCCAACTTACAGCTGCTGCTGATCCAACAGCTCTAGCAAGACTTCCCAGCACTCAGGAAGCAACAGAGTAGTTGGGCAGGCAGGCCCTAGAGTCACAAAGCTTGGGGCCAAATCCTGCCATCAACAGTTCTGTGAACTCTGTGCCATGATTTCCTTATCTGGAAAAATGGGAAGCAACAGAAGCTACCATGTAAGATCAGTGTGAGGACTGAATTAACACAAGGAAGGCACTTAGAACAGTGTTTTGCACAAAGTGTTTATGTGTGTTAGTGATCTCATCACGATATGCCTGTAGTCAGACCAGGCGCCAAATTTATAGAAGTGAAAACTTTTCTGAGTTTGACTGGATACACACAGTGTTCTATCAACATTTACTAGTGGGTGAAACTGGGCAAATCGCTTAAACTGAATCCTACTTTCCTCAGATCATCACTGACAAAATTGGTGCAAGACTGTAAGTACATACTACAGAGTATCTAGTACATTTGGTACTATGTCCTTTCCTTCTCCCTAGTTTTATTTATTTATCTTTTCCATCTTTTCCTTTTTTTTTGATACAGGTTCTCACTCTGTTGCCCGAGCTAGGGTGCCATGGCATCAGCCTAGCTCACAGCAACCTCAAACTCCTGGGCTCAAGCGATCCTCCTGCCTCAGCCTCCTGAGTAGCTGGGACTACAGGCATGCATCACCATGCCCGGCTAACTTTTCTATACATTTTTAGTTGTCCAGCTAATTACTTTCTATTTTTAGTAGAGATGGGGTCTCACTCTTGTTCAGGCTGGTCTTGAACTCCTGACCTTGAGCGATTCTCCCACCTTGGCCTCCCAGAGTGTTAGGATTACAGGCGTGAGCCACCACACCCGGCCTGATCTTATCCCTAGTTTTAGATTAGGAAATGATTTGCAAACAGGAAATATTAATGGCTGGCCAAAATGAAGAGATCTAATGGACAGGGTCCTCCTTTCCCCCACATAACTTGATCTGAGACAGATTTCCTGAAAAGTCAACTCTACTTATTGTCAGATAATGGCCATGGCCATGATGCAAATGTCATATTCATCCTGCTAAGACATTACTCTGGTTATTACTGGCACAGGAAAATAATTACTCTCATCATAGTTTTGTCAGCATACTGGGATTAACATTCTTTTAAGAGAAGGCCTATGGTTCTTTCAGGGTAAATGGTCCACACCTACGTTTCACAAATCACCCAAATAGGTTGCTTCCAGCTGTAATTCGGGTCCGGGCGTGGAAATAAGTTCATCTCCAAATGGAAGGAGTCAGAAAAGGGTCTTCTGGAACTGCCAATATGCACTGCTGAAGCATTCTTGACCTTTCTCTACACTCAGAACTGAGTAGGCCTAACCCTCTCCAGTTGGGGTCATCAGATAGACTCACTGCCTAAGTTGCTATGGACTGCAGATGTGCTGCTGTGTCCCTTCAGACACTGCAGAACTAATCCTCAAAACCTTTGATAAAACAATTCTAGAAAATCAAAGAGAAAAAAGCTGAACTATCAACCTGTAGGGTGGCATTTGTTTTAAGCAGATAAGAAAGGCCATCTTGAATAAAGCAGAAAGGGGAGGGGATCTGTGGTCAGCTTCAAATCATAGCTTTGCCATTTAGAAGCTATTTGGATATTTTACCTGACCTTTCCATCTGCTTCTTTGTCAGTAAAATAGATAGTGAAATGAAATGTTGAGAGGGCTACACAAAGCAATATATGAAAAGCACCAGGGCCAGCACATGGCCTCACAGAAAAGCTAAGCACTATGTATATATCCTTCTTGTAGTACCCACCACAGTCTACCTTTGATGACAGGTGACCGAATGTATACGTATCTTGTCTCCATTCTAGATTGTAAACTCCTTGGTGGCAGGACTTGAGAGGCATTATAGCTTTGTGGTCAACAGCAGAGATACAAAGAATTCAACCCTGGCTCCAAATCTTGTTATGTCACCTTGGGCAAATTACTGAACTACTCTGAGTCCTGTCTTCATCTGCAAAATGAAAATAACACGTATAACATATATTCCATGGGCTTGTTGAGCACATCACTTGAGATAACATAACTGAGGCTATCAGCACTGTGCCTAGCCCACAGTTAAGTGCCCAATAAATGGTAGTGATTATCATCTTTTCCATTCCTGTGTGCCTTATACTTGCTAACAGCATCTAGCTAATACCTGAAGATTTAAAGGTTTCTGTAGCTAAGACATTGCCCCACCCACAGAAATCCAGAAATACCAAGAACTATCAAGATGCCAAGAAGGGGTCCCCTACCTCTGGAAAATCTCTTGAAGCGTTTCCCGGGTGAAGGCATTGCTGTCCTGGAAGACGTTATTGAGGGCATGGAGGGCACAAAGCTCCCTGCGCTGTTTCTCATGGTAGATTTGTGGGGGTGCTGCCTGGGGCAGCTCCAATGATTCAGATTTGGCCTTGTCTCCTTTCCATGGCACGCAACTCATGTTTTTCGTTTTAGGTTCCAGAGAGGGCTAAAAACACCCCACTCTTCCCTCCTGAGGAAGAATGTAAGCTTCTCAGCCTTTCCAAAATTCCTGAGGTCCACCTTATTCTCTGGTGTCCATAATTTATGCTTTGTCACTGGGAGAAAAGGTTGGAATCAAAACGGGGAAAAACCCATACCTCTTCTCTCTTCTCGATAGAAAAATAACTTTTAGATTGGTTTATTTTGCCACCACTGACAAAGTGCAGAATTTTTTAAAAAATCATAAAATGTAAGACCTTGTTTCCCTTTCCCCACCCTCCCCTCCCACCCCCCTCCAAAAAAAACCACGATTTTTCCTGCTGTATTTTCCTCTTTGCAAATGCCAACCAGGCCTCAACGCAGGGGGACTGAGCGGAATCGGTCACATCGTTCCTTTTCTTCCATTTCCTTCGAACCACGACGCCACTGACTCAGGAGACAAGGCCTAGGACGGTAGTGGATAAAACGCACAGTCCGAGCAGCTAACGAGGACCGGCCAGAGTGGGATCGCGGGCCATGCCGGGGCCGAGGCGGCAGCCCTCCATCCCCTCGGGTGCGGTGGGGCTCCGCAGGGCGCGGGCCAAGGCGGGCACGGCTCCCTCGAAGGCGCGGACTCTCGCCCTCTCACCACGGCCCTGCGGAGGAGACAACTCCGGTCAGCAGCGCCGGGCGGGCGGGCCGCCGCGAAGCACCAGGCTGGCTGGGGAAGTGGTGCGACGGGTCAAGCCCCTGCCGGAGGGAAGGTTCTGCGCGGCGACGGGCAGGCCCGCGAGGGGTGGGGCCGGACAATTCGCCTCGCCCTCTGGGGCCTGGGCCCACGCGGCTCGTCGCCCGCACCCCCAACCTCCCCGCCCGTCACGTGAGTGCAAGCCCAGGCGCCTTCCCGCCGCCCCCTACCCCGGACTCCCCCGCCGCCGAGACAGCCCGCCGCCGCGCCGCCGATCGCCCCCTCACCGCCGCCGGCCGCCACCTGGGCCGCGCGCGGGCAGGCGAGCGCGCGCACCTGAGCCCGACGTCAGCGGCCCTCGCCCGGCGCGTGCTCCGGAAACGCCCTCCCGCGCCGTCCCGGCTCCTCCCCGCCGTGGCGTCACGCCCGACGTCAGCGGCGCTGGCTTTGGAGCGGCGGCAGTCGTGCGTCCGCCGGGCGGGCGCGGGCAGGGCTGAGCGAGCCGGGCTGCGGAGGCGAGCAGGCCTGTGAGGGGCGGCGGCGTTCTGCGGGGCGCCCGGCAGGGCCAGCGTCTGGCTGCCCGGCTCGGTTTCGTCCCTGGCACAGCCGGGCGGCACGGCCTGAGGGAGTCATGCCTTGGCGCATGCCCGCTCCTCTCCCGGGCGTCGGCGCCGTTCCGGGGCGGCGACCGGGCCAGCGGCTGCCTGTCGCGGACTCCCCTCCCCTCCCTGGGCCGGGCTTCTCGGCAGAACGCTGCCGCTACTTCTGCCTTGGCCGTTTTACGTTTGTCTGGCATGCCGTTGGCCAGGTGACTTCAAAGCCCTACGCGGTCGGGCGCAAATTCTCTCGGTTAATGAGCCCGACCGCCCCGCACTGTCCAGGGAGCTACGGGGGGTAAGTGCCTCTCCGGGAGTCACATTTCAAGTGGAAAGGAGAGTCTTGTTTCACTTTCTTGGTGTCATATTTCGGTTCAGTACACACAAACCACTGCCCTCTTCCCCTGAGGCTCCCCCACTCTTCTCACGGTGGCTGTCACTTAGCTTTCCCTGCGTTTTCTCAAGGTCTGTCTAAGCGCATTGTGTGTGTCCGAAGAAGGGAAAACTTGCAATCTCACGTGGATTTAATTTCTTTCCCTTTTAAGGCGTCTGGGTGCCTTAGCTGTCCTCTTTTTGGGTTTTTGTTCATAAAATTGGAAAAAACAATAGAAGAAATGGCACTTCCAATTAGTCATTTTTTTGACCCTGCTTCTTCGTTACACTCAACAGTGTTACCATTTAACGTGCTTGAGTGCTTGACCACGTGGTAGGGAGACCTGTGCCTCCCTCCAGACTTGAATTACCTTAAACTTTTACAATTTGTAAGCCTACCTGCGGGTTATGGTTATATTTAAGGTTAGTTACTGAGGGCTTGCTGTGCAGCAAGTACTGTTGTAAGTGCTGTGTGTATTTTAGCTTATTTACTGCTCATTATCCTATTAGGTACTTCATGTTTTTGGAGGAGAAAACTGAAGCTCAGACGTTAACTTGCTTGAGGTCACATACCTGCGATATGTGCATCCTGTATGTAGTGAATACAGAATTTAAACATAGGATCTAATCTTTCTGAAGAAGGATGTAAGATGGATAGGAAATTCCCTGTCTCAAATGTTATTTTAAATTTCCCCATTCAAGAAGCACCTACTCTGAGAAGGTCTTTTCTGGGTAGGGGGCTGTAGTGAGAAGGGCATGTTTTTTAGTCTATCAGGCATCAGCACATTCTGAACTTGAACTCTTTTTGGAAGAGTCAGTTGATAAGATGCTAAATGTCAACCTGGCTAGCTAGGCAGATTGTGCTTTTCCTATTCACTACTCTCAATGCAACACAAAACTCGGGTCACCAAAATGTGTGTGGCTTTCTCCCCACCAGCCATCAATCAATTCTGCAACAGACACCAACAAGCTGGGTGTCCTCTAATTCAGTTAAATTCAATTCTGACACTATCCACCTGGAGATGGCATCAGATCCTGTAGGTTTAGGGCTCAGTCCCACAAGACTGCCTCCTCACCCCCATTTCAGAAGCCAGTTGCAAGTCCAGGCCTCCAGAACTTATGACAGACCAGCCGTAAATTGGATTTCCCATGACCCTCTCCTTGGGTTCGATTAATTTTCTATGGCAGTTCACAGAATTCAGGGAAACATTTTCCTTATGTTTACCAGTTTATTGTAAAGGATATTACAAAGAATACAGATGAGCAGCCAGATGGAAGAGGAGATGCATAGGGGAAGGGGTGAGGGGCTTCCATGCCCTCTCTGGGCATGCCACCCTCTGGGAACCTCCACATGTTCTGCTATCTGAAAGCCCCTCACCCCCCAACTCAGTCCTTTTGGGTGTTTATGGAAGCTTCATTATGTAGGCATGCTTGATTAAATCATCGGCCACTGATGATCAACGTAACGTTCAGTTCCCTCTCCCCTCCCTGGAAGTTGGATGGGACTGAAAGTCCTAACCCTTTAATCATGGCTTGATCTTTCCGGTGACCAGCGCCCATCCTGAAACTAGGGGCCTATGGTCATCTGTCAACTAAAACATTCATCACTCAGAAGATTCCTACGATTTTAGGAACTGTCATGAAATTCAGGTGAAGATCAAGTATGTATTTCAAAATATCACAATTATTATTGTAGAACACAATGCCTTGATATTTGCCTTTTCTATCAAACCAAGATTTTAATATGTTAACTTCCTCATGGGACTGCATAGAGGCGTATATAGGATGGTGGCAAGCAATTTAGCCAGGAAAAAAGAATAAAACACATCAGAAAAATGTTATCAAGACCCTTGGAGTCGATAACTTCTTGTCCAAGATTTTCAGCTGTGTTTGTGCAAATAGGACTTGACAGTAGTTGAAAACAGGAACAAGAAGACTGCCTCTTTCAGGCAGATCCCTGAAACTGAAAGCCATTTAGATCCTGCCGCTTGCTCACTAAATCCTGTGGTCCAAACCCTAAGTCTTGGCTACCTTACCTTCTCAAATGGCTATTCTTTCTTGCTAGCTGTCTGGGACTGGTGGCCAGGGCCAACACTTTTAGACCTTGCTTAATCCCTAGTTTCAGCTAGCAGTGAAGGTCTACGTTTTTCAGACTTTTGAAACAGGAATTCAAGACACTAAAACTTGTGCTAATGGTGGTTTTGGGTTGCGGCTTTCCACAGCTGATGACACTGGAAAAATAATCTACAGACCCTAGATCGAGGCTCAGCTGTTCACCACCAATGTAGTTGAGGTGTTTTGGCTTTTATTTTAGCTGCTTGCTTCTGTTTTTTGTTCGTATAATTGCTCTCTCCGCAAAAGCAGTGAATGGAGAATTCTCCCTAAGGTCAGCATTTAATTATTGCCTCGCTCTGGCTGCTGTGGTATTACAACTCTTGGAATAATAACAGCATCGATCCTACTATTAAAGTTGCCTGGAGCATGCCAGCACGTCGGACATCGGTGTTCCAGTGACTGCCTCAGTCACTGAATCGAGTGGGAGGCTCATTTTGCAGTTTACTATCTTCGTGAGTGGCGGCCAAGGCGCGGGACCCATCCAATGACTAGATTGGGTCCTACCCCCGTCCGTCATCGGAAGGCTCTCCGCACCGAGGGTTTTGCAGTACGATTTGGAAGCTGAGCACCGCCTCTGGAAACGAGAGTGACAGGGCGGTGAGGAGAAACTGTACATTTCGCTCCTCATTGGGTAGCTGCTCTGTCAGTCACGCTCTGCTCCTGTTGGTCGGAAGGCTCCGGGCGGGTAGCGTGGACACGGTACTGCCCCCTTCCAAGCTGAGATCCAGGCGCGTGACGTCTCAGACATTTGTTGTTGGGGTTTGGGCCTCATTAATTATTCATTAGGTGCTTGAGAGGGCTGCAGTGATTGGTGGCTGAGAGGCCTGGTCGATTGTTTCTTAGCTAGAGATACGCGTCGCCCTGTACGCGGCTGGAGAAGCTTCGCATAAATTATTCCGATACGGGAGGGGCGGGGCTATGCATAGATTAGTCAAATGAGCCAGGGAGGGAGGGAAGCCGGCTGCGAATTAGCCTAAGTTATTAAAGATGGCGGCGGAGCGGAGTCGCTCCCCGATGGACTCGCCGGTTCCGGCCTCAATGTTCGCCCCCGAGCCCAGCTCCCCGGGGGCGTCCAGGGCCGCGGCGGCCGCCGCCCGACTCCACGGCGGCTTCGACTCGGACTGCAGCGAGGACAGCGAGGCGCTCAACGGCGAGCCGGAGCTGGACCTCACCAGCAAGGTAGGCCCTGGCGGCGACGGCGGGCGCTGAGGGGAGCGGGCGGCTGGCCGAGCCGTCTCCGGGGCGACGACGGGACCAGCGGCGGACCGGTCCGCGACGGAGGGCGGGTCGGGGGCACGAGGTTGGCTGCGCGAGGAGGCCGCCCCCAGAGTCCTCTGTTGCCGCCTGGTTCCCCAGCGGCGCCAACACGGCCTCCCGCCCTCCGGGTTCCCGCGGAGATCACAACCCCTTGGCTCCGCCACGTGGAACGGGGGCGCCCGACGCCGGCAGCGCTCCGCGCGGTCCCTGTCCCCGCGCGTGCCCCTCCCCCTTCCTCGGGTCCCCACTTGTGAGGAGACCCGAGACCAAGAGTGGTCCTCTCCCTGGACCGCGCGGGACAGCTGAGGGTCGAAGTGGCTTGGGCAGCGGGCAGGATGCTCGGGAAGACAGGTAGTCGGAGGGGAGGGCAGGGGTGGCAGCCGCGCCTCTTCTTGGACTCGGGAAAGGAAACAAAGTAGTCGCTCAGTTGGGAGAAGCATGTCTGAGGAATATCTACTTTGCGAGTCCACCCAAAACAAAAAGGAAAGATGGGAGGACCCATAATCTCGCCATTCTGGGAGTGGAACCTAATCTTGTATGTGTGTAATAATGAAGGACATTTTAAATCGTGTCTTCTGAGCTGGCGACAAGGTAGACAGGAATGAAGGGCTCACCATCTGCTTGGCATTGTGGGGAATAAAAAAGTAAGTATAAGATGTTACTGGTGTTTTGAAGGGGCTTAACACTGCTTGAGAAAAGAATGCCAACTTGGGAGTCAGAGAGGGCTGGGTATCCTTTCCTGCCCTGCCATTAAAAGGCTGTGTGACCTTGGGAAAGTTTCTTAACCTCTCAGTTCTCCAGCGATCTAATTTTAAGAACGTACAGATGCAATGTCAAAGTTAGAAATGTATATTAAGACACCTAGTATAGTGCTTGATACACACTAGAGACTTAGTAAATACTTGAAGTGAACTGTATAGTCGATAGCAGATTAAATAAAAGCAGATGTAAGATAGAACACAGATACCACTGTCGACCTGTTGCAGGATGGTTATGGTAGAGATTTTATCCAGCTTTGAAAATGTTTATGACTTTTCATAGTTTATGGTGGCAAATTGCATGAAACTTGGCCTTAAACTGGATAGAACTTTCCCTGCAACCTAAGCAAACTATTTTCAATTGCTCATTTTCCCTCTTGTCTCAGTTGAGCATGTAGAAGCCAGCCAGCTCCTGCTTGTCACAGTGGTCCTGTCTGGTGCCTCTAATGCCATAATGAGGATGGCCAAGCTCAGAGAGAGGGCCGGCTGGCCGGCGAAAATGTGAGAGGCAATGTGACGTGATGTAAAAGACCCAGGCAGCATCCAGGTTACAATTACAAGCTCTGATGAGTCAACTCAGGAGGTGATAAGATTATGCACCTAACTCAAAAGCAGATGAGCTGGATGTCAGTACATGGTTGAGGTGCTGAAGAAACACAGTAGGAAATTACAGGGCAGAGTTGCAGAGAGGGTAGTACCTTCATATCCTGACAAGCTTATTTAATGTTCCTGGATTGGGAAGTGTTACTTCATCACATAGCTGGGGAAGTCCTCACAATTTTGAAATCGAGAAGCAATGTGTATATAAATATTGATGCTATTGAAAAGAAGTGATGATGTGGAGGGAAAGAGAGGATGGGTTGAATAGATTGATTCCTGAGGAAAAGATCAGAAGCTAGAAGTTTGTTTACTTACCACAATTAAATGTGAGGACCTAAGCTTCTGAGAGTTTCCAAAGGGGGAAACAGTTAGTGAACAGTGGTGGCTAGTTTCATCCAAGGAGGTTTTTCTAGGAATGATTGAGTGAAGAAAACTTTGTGGTTACTGCTTATTGAGGTGTGGACTGGGTGCTTTATATGTTATTATATTTGGTCTTTACAGTGGCCTTAGGATGCAGGTAGTATTAACTCCATTTTGTACATTGAAAAACTGAGACTCAGAGAGGTTAAGTTCTTTGTCCAAGGTCACACAGGAGTGCTGCTTAGAGAATGGGGTCTGACATGCCTGTTGGTAAGGCCTTCCCGAATAAGTGGTTGATACTTTAATGTTATTGGCAGAGATTTGCAAAGTGATGGTGCTAATTACTCACTGTAGTGGTAATGGTGTTTTGTTGATGAAGATTGGTTATGCAGGCAATTTTCATTCCCAAATAATCAAGACAGCTAAGGCAAGATGGAACAGATTTTTTTTGTAATGCTGGGAGCCCTTGGCCTGTGGGTGGAGGACATGGTGCCATATGAGATCTCTGTCCTCTGAGCTTCCAGATGCCAACTGCAGGTAGACTTTGGCATGTAGGTATAAAGCAGTGCTCTTCAGTTTCTACCCACAATGCCAGTTTCTCAGTTGTTTTGGGTCCTGCCCCTCCTGTTGAGCAGCAGGAGGCAGTTGCTCACACCCTCTTTATTGTGGGTTGTGGCTAAGACATACGTACTTTAGACGATCGTACAGCTTATGTCAGGCTTTAGGCTCAAAGGCTATTCAAGGAGAGGCAGAGAGGGTCTGAGGGGGCTGCATAGCTATTTTAGATTAGGGTGCCGTGGGGTTCAGTCAGGGTCTTTGGTCAGGCTGTTGATCAGCGTTGGCTGTGGTGCTATTCTAGTAAGTGTGGTCCTAAGGTTGTTGGTTTCTTTTCTAGCTGGTTCTAGTGAGCCCTACATCAGAGCAGTATGACAGCCTACTTCGGCAGATGTGGGAGAGGATGGACGAGGGATGCGGAGAGACCATATATGTCATTGGGCAGGGATCAGGTGAGCATAGTTTTCCTTTCACTTTATTTTAAAAAATTATTTAGACTATATTTTCCCTTTTTCAACTTTTTACTCGTGTATCTCAGTTGCAGTGATTCTTTAATATCTGTAGAACTGTTTGGAGGACATCAGAGTACAAAGTGAATGTTAATTCCCCCCTTAGTGGTTATAATATGCTTGATTTAAAGGTTCACTTTCCAAGCAGTTTTACAGATGCTTCTTTCTACATTTGCATAAAAGGAAATGATGCACAAAACAAGGGAACTTCTTGTCCAAGATAATAGAGCAAGTCCGTTAGGTCTAGAATTAAGCCTGCCCCGGGCAGCTCCAGGTCATCCCTTCCAAACCCTGTTTACAGATCCCATTGCTACTCATTTTCTGCTTAACAGGGGACCTCCATGATTCTTCTCAATGTCAGCAAGGAAAAGACGCCCAGAATTCCTCTCTTTAGTCAGGCTCCTTGCCCCAGTCCATACTGATGATTTAATCTAGATCACTGTAATAACAGAGATCCTCTTCTCTTCCCATTGGATCCTGGCAGACACGTAGGCTTATAACCATTCTGGAAGGGACTGGTTATTGTTCTCCAACCTGTTTATTTGTTGTAATGGAGCCTCTGTTTTAGAGGAAGGCAGCCCCCAGACAGAATCCCAGATTATATCATGGGCTTTTTTACCGTGGTTGCTCCTTGTACCCTCAATATAAGGCCTACCGACCCTTATCTTCATTGCGACATTATCCTTGCTGAAATGATAGCTGGGATTGTTAATGATTATGAATCCAGCCCATACTAGCACTTGTCTCTGTCATCTTTGTAGGAAGCCCAGGGTGGGCCTAGATGCGTCATTAAAGGAACAGTTTTCTTTGCTCAGTGTAGGCTTTGTAAAGCCAGGTAATAATTCTTTTGTAGTCTGAGTTGAAGTTGAAGAAGTCTCAAAATCATTTTTTAACTATTTGACACATATCTATTAAGTATCTTCTAAGGCTTGATACTGTTGCAAAGCTCTTTTGAGTACTTGAAATCTGGCCCCTGCCCCAAGGAGGAAAGATATACTCATATACTCAATAACCTCAGTAGAAAACAATATTTAGAAATGCTACAAGAGTGGTACAAGGAAGAAGGGTTTGATCTCCTTCCTTACATGTCTATCCTTAAATTATGGGCCTTAAATGTCTTTCATATCTATCCTTTTCATCCCATCCTTGCTGCCACCTCTCTAGTTGTAGGTCTTATCACCTACATGCCAAGAAGGATGGTCAGAGAGATAGGCACACCAAGAGGTTGCATGTCAAGAAAAGGAGTTGCTCAGCATTGTCAAGTGCTATAGAGGCAGCAATAAGTGTCAGGTTCAGAAAAAGCCATTCCATTCTAGCAACTAGGAGATCATTGATAGTCCTTTGAAAGCTTTGATGTCTGGTGCCCATCTGGCCTGCTGTAATAAGACAAACCACTCAAAGATCATTTAATGCTTGCAGAATTTCAGAAACTGCATATAGGTCAATGTTGACAAGTGTTGAGACTGTTCTTTGAAGACCAAGATTCTTAAGACTCCCCCTTTTTCCCTTATCCTGTAATGTCGACTCAGTGAATTTTACCATGCCTTGGCAACTCACAACTAATTAACCCATGGCAGAGCATAAGAAGATGTCAGACGTTCATTAACACATCCACACACCCAAGCATTATCCTTGCATCTACCAATTGGATGCTATTAGATTCATAATGACTCCTTCTTGCTGAAATTCTCTAGAGGTAGAAAGAGATCATAACTAGTTAAACAAGTCGAACATCAAACAGAGGACTAACCTAGATGCAAGGCCCCCAAGGATCGGTTTCATCACTGACTTCCTTGGTGCTTTACCTCCATTTATCACGTCCTTCCTCTGTAAAATGATAATAATGACACCTTCCCCATCCTTCCTTAGAGAAATTTTATACAGATAAATGAGATATTAAAAAATTCTAAGCATTGCAAAGAAATGTGCTCTTTAAGTATACATTCTTAATTTAAGGTTAATATTTTAAAAGGAGGCCTTATAGCCCAGTCGTTCAGGGTTTGCATCCTGGCAGGCCTATGTTTGCGTACTGACTCTTTTTCTTGTCTTAAAATGGAGATAATAATAGTGTAATAGTGAAGATTAAGTGAGAATTCAAGAAAATCACTTGGCGTATAGCAAGCACTACATAAATGTTAGCTAGTATTGGTAGTTGCAGTAGTTAGTTTTTAAGGGTCTTAGGTTGTAATTGATTTACTGTGAGATTTCTTTAAAAAGGAACCTATTCATTCCTCAAATACTAAGTCATGACTTTCTAAGAACTGGGTACTGTATTAAAAGTTGAGGGACCACAGGAAGAATGTTAAGGGTTTGTGGGGGAGTCAGGAAAGGCTTCAAAGAGGACCTGCTCCTTGAATTGACTCTAAAGGATGAGCAGGAGTTTTCCAGGTAAATGGAGGCAGTAGTGAGTGGGCAGAGAGAATCACATGTACAAAGTCATGAGGCGTTGGAGTCTGAAGGATTTAGTGGACCAGAAGTATCACGTAAGGTGGGAGTGGAGAGTGTGAGGCTGGGAGTGGCAGGAGAGGAGGCTGGACAGGGAGGGAGGGCCCAGATCCTGAGGGTCCTTGAATGCCATGCCAAAAAGGTTAGACTTTTGTCCTAAAAGTCTGGGGAGCCTTTGCAGCACCTTGAACAGGAGAATGCATATAGGACAGGTAAGTGAGCTGGCAGGACAGAAATCTGATTAGGGTCAGACATGGCTGAGTATGTGGCCTTTAGTAATTGGACCTCTGCGGCTTTTCTCCTCAGCCTTTGTCTTCACTCCTACAGAGTGAGAAATGCGATGCATGCTGGAGAAGGGTAGTGTGACTGACCGAGAGCCCTGATGGACAAGGTGACATTGATGGTGGCCCCTGGTGCGGAGCAGGACCTGAGAGCACAGAAGCAGGGGAGGTTGGATAGAACTGGGGAGTTGGGCAAGAATGGCACATTTAGCCAGCCTTCTCGGGAGCACTCCCAACAAGCCCTTCTCCAGCGCAGAAGCTTTTCAGAGCTCAGTTCGCCATGGATTTAGAAACTCCTCAACCCTACCACTCCCTCTTTGTTCAGTTGTTTTACATTTTACAAACATTTGAGAACTTGATATAGAAAAGACACCCCTCATTGGGTATTGGGGAATTGTTGAGATATGGTCTCCACCCTCGGATGGCTATGTATGGGGGAGAAGGAGGACATGGATCCAAAACACTCTTGCACAAGACAGTATGTGGCAAATGATGTAAGGGAGACTCATACATTTGTGGGGCCTCTGAGCAGAATGAGTAGGATTTTGCCAATAGGAAGTGTGCTGGAGAGCTTTCTAGGATAGGAAATCCGTGAGCAAAGGTGAAGGACTAGGACTGTGCAGGGAACCCTGGTGGGTGGTAGGGGGGATGTGTGTGACTGGGCCACTTACACTGGGACAGAACTTACAAGGGGAGAACAAGGAGGGGGTGTGGAATAAATGGGGGAGGCCATTGAGCGGTTGGGGCTGGGGAGGAACACTGCTGGGTCTGGGAAGCCATTTAGAGGCTTTGACTCGGAAGTAACATCATCAGATATGTGCTTCACTTAGGACCTTAAGTGTGGGGGGTCTGTGCAGGATGGTTGGAGGGAATAGAGACCAGATTTGCTAAGACGAGTTGAGCGTCTATCATGGTGATTCAGGTAGAATAAGGGCCTGAATCAGGCTGGTGGCTTTGGGTTGGCAAACAGGGTAGACAGCAGAGAAAGAAGGGCAAGATAGAATGCTGGAATCAGCGGGACTGGACTGATGAGACTGGTGACTGGAATGATGGTATTGTTATTGTCAGAAATAGGGACGGTGAGAGGAGGAACTGGTCAGGCAGTAGGAGGAACCCTTGCTAGAGGAGAAGGTTCTAGATTTGGAATGCGAAGACCTTTCTCACACGGCCCCTCTGCTCCCTCCCAGCTCTGATCCCTCTCTGGGTTCTGTTTACCCTGCTGTAAATAGAACAGTGATACCTACCTCATAAGGTTACAGTGAGGACGAAAATGCTTTATTAACATTGTTGGGTTTTGTGTTGTTGTTTAAAGGGGGACTTGGTGGCTGAGTTTGGATATTGGACTGCTAGGAGTTATCCAAGCAATTGGAAATGCAGTCTGGTGCTCCAGGAATAGGGTGATGCTAGAAGTGATTGAAGCCATAGAGCAAGATGGCCAAGGGGAAAGTTTAGAGGAAAGAAAAGAGGGCCACTGACAGACTACTGAGGAAGGATGACATTCAGGGACAGGAGGAGGGGGACAGAGGGTGGGAGGCATAAGGAGCCGGTCGGGTGATGGGCGAGCAGGGTGGGAGGGAAGTCCCAGGGAAGGAAAGGCGGCAGGGTGTTCAGCAGTGTCGAATACTGTTGGGGTCAGGCAAAGGACATAGAGTGGTTAGAGGGCCACTGGTAACTGTGAAAACTGCAGTTTTTCCTAGAGTGGTCAGATTCTCAGGGAATAGATAGATGGCAGAGAAATAACGTGTCAGTTGCTCTTCAGATCTTTGACGGTGAAAGGAGGTACAGAGAAGATGGTAGCTCTGTAGAAACACAGGGGCAAGGCAGGGATGATTTTCCTTTCCTTAGTTTAGGAGCTTGAGCTTGTTTGGAGGAGGAGGAAGAGGAGACAAGTATACTTGGTGCTGCAGGGTCTTTGGAGGTGGTGAAAAAGAAGAAAAGGTCACCTAGGTTAGCTTAGGGAAGGAGCAAGGCACTCTTGGAGACAGGACAGCTGGGGGAACAGCTGTGGGAGTGATTGTGAGAATTAAATCTGACAACTTAGAAAGCACCTGATGGGGTTGTCATATAGTAGGTGCTCAGTAACTGATTGGTTGGTCCTTTGTTCCATCTGCCTACCTTCCTCATCCTGAACTCAAACTCATTTTTCCAGCTGTTTGCTGGACGTTTCACCTAACCACCTTAGTTAAAAATCTGTCCCTAAAATAATTCTTAAATCCTGCCCCATTTTCCTCCATCTTCCTGTCCTCATTATCTCTTGCCTAGATTATTAGAATTACTTCCAACTGGGCTCTCCTTCGCTGGTCTCTCGCTTGCCAGTGCACTCTCTCTACTGCTGTCCAGGAGATCTTTCTAACCCGTGTCGGTGTGATCGTGTTCCTCCCCTCCCTAACCCTCCAGACTTCTCACTACCTGGTACAAAATGTGTCTTGCTGCTGTCTGCTGTCCGTCTGCCATACCCGCATCCACTTCTCGTGTGGTCTCCCCCCACTCCACATCACCCATCCTGTTCCCCAACATGCTAAGCTGCTTCCTGGTCTCTGAAGGCGCCACAGTCTGCCATGCTCCATGCTTTGCTCTCTGGCTTGGATGTCCTTCCCGCTTCCTCTGCAGGCTCATTTCTCACACCTGGAGACCCAGCTTGGCATCAGCCCCAGGCAGAGCTGCCCTGAACTTCCCTAGGCAGTACATTGTGTTCTCTTTGCGCATTTCTATAGTATAGCACTTAGCTGTATTGCAATTAATTAATTTCCTATCTCTCCTGCTGGGCTGTGAGCTCGCTAGGGGCACCTGTAGTCCCAGTACCCAGCATGAGGGTTGGCATAAAACCTAGGAGAGCCTCAGTGATTGTTGGTGAATGACAACAATGAAGCCTGTGGCACTGTCATGTTTTAACTCTGTGTGTACCCAGGTTTTCTCTCAGATAGAGAACACCGTATTCCTCTCCAGTTCCCAGCAGGGCCTTTGTTAGGAGGGGTTGACTGGCTGGCTTGTTGGTCAGGACCAGCTCTCCTGCTGATGTCTGGGCTCTTGTCACCAGATGGGACTGAGTATGGGCTGAGTGAAGCTGACATGGAGGCCTCCTATGCCACAGTGAAGAGCATGGCGGAACAGATAGAGGCCGATGTCATCCTCCTGCGGGAACGTCAAGAAGCTGGGGGCCGGGTGCGTGATTACCTGGTCCGGAAACGAGTTGGAGACAATGACTTCCTGGAGGTCAGGTGAGGAGGCTTCAGATCAGTTCAGGGGTCCCCATTCTTCACAGAGAAGGGTGATTGAGCCTGTGACACTTGGAGTGTCAGCGCCACCCCTTTCCTTCCTTTCCCTTCCCGAGGTGTGGAAAGAATGTCCAGGGACATGATAGCTCCATTCTCTATTTCTGCACTTCCCCGTCCCTAAGTATTTCCCTCTGGGAGGAGCAGGAGAGGGGCCAGCCATACTTTCTGTGGGTGACATTTACTTTCCCATCAGCCTGTGAGGCTGGAATCTAGGGTAATGGAGGAGGCCTTTTGTGCTGTCATAACTTTGGGGCACTTCCTGGCAGTGTGGGGAAAGTAGTGGGAATTAAGGGAGATAGCCATTGTGGGAGCCCAGTTCCTCCTGAATAACTCTTTCTACTCCGTGGATACAGCTTTAGGGACATTCCCAGTGTGCTCATCGTGGGTAGGAGGAGCAGTGAGCCGGTGGGGCTCAGGGTGAGCCTGGACTACCGGATCCAGTTACTGGGGTTCTGAGTTGTGTCTTCACTTTGCTCATCCGCTAACTCTCACACGGATATATGGGTTCATGTACACACAGGGTAGCAGTAGTGGGCAACGTGGATGCCGGCAAAAGCACTCTTCTGGGGGTCCTGACACATGGGGAGCTGGACAATGGCCGAGGCTTTGCCCGCCAGAAACTCTTCCGCCACAAACATGAGATTGAATCTGGGCGCACCAGCAGTGTGGGCAACGACATTCTGGGCTTTGACAGCGAAGGCAATGTGGTAAACAAGCCCGACAGCCACGGTGGCAGCCTGGAGTGGACAAAGATTTGTGAGAAGTCCACTAAGGTTATTACTTTCATTGACTTGGCTGGCCATGAGAAGTACCTGAAGACCACTGTGTTTGGCATGACTGGCCATTTGCCTGACTTCTGCATGCTCATGGTGAGTGGAAGGCGCTCCTGGGGAGGGGAGGCTTCAGCAGGGCTGCTGCGGGGAGGGTGGTTATGTGCAGTTGTTTGAAATTGTTCTGAGACTGAGGCCTGTTGGTTTGGGGCTTTGACCCTTGTAAGGGTGGCACGTTTTGCAGAGGTGCCCAGTCCTCTAAGCTTGCCGTCTCCTCTGGGCATGAACCTTGCTCTCCCCCGTTACATTGCACCAGGAAGTGATCCCCTTGGTAAAAACCAGGAGCCATTGCAGACCTCTCTTATGTTTTGGAGAGGCATAGAGGAGGGTTTCTCCTGGGGCTTACTTACTACCTTCAGAAATGCTTCTCCAGGGGGTTGGGCTACTCTGAGGAGGCTTGGGCAGCAGTCGAGGGCCTGAGAGTGGCCTCTTCCAGAGCCTGAGAGAACCAGCCTGTGCACAGCTGCTGTCAGGAGGCTCCTGGTGCCTGGAACTGTGCTAGGCCTGATGAAACAGCAGTGAAGAAGGCTGCGGCTGTGCGGGGGATCCTGAGGAGCTTATAGTCCAGTGGGATGAAAATTTTAAGCAGTTCATCAAGTAGATTAACTGGAGGGAAAGAGAGAAGAGGTCTCTGTGTTGGATCATGTTGCTAAGCTTTCCTTTGTGTCCCTGGACGGAGTGTGAGAGTGGTGAGGCCCGCAACCTGTGCACAGGTCTGGTTTTCATGGAGGGTGGAAGGAGGAGGGAAGAAGGGAAAGGGAGAGAGTAAAAGTGCATGTGTGCAGCTGAGCAAGTTTTCCCTTGGCAAGTCCTTCCTAAAGTCCTTCCGCTGCCTGGATTAATAAGTGTAGTAAACATAAGCATCTGTTCATAGCAAACTTGATCAAATTACCCCACAAACACGGGTTCTCAAGCAAATTCTCCCCAAAGTAGAGAGTGGTAAAGAGAGGCAGAACATACGGTATGAATATTCTTATCGGCTCTTAAACTATGGTGAGCAAGACCAGTTAATGGAAGTGTTTTCACCCTAGACAGAATGTTTACGTACACATTATCTGAGTTTTAGGCTGTGATCCAAATACTTACATTTCTGTGTAAAACAATGAAATATTTCATTATTTTTTCATGACAATTGATTTCCAGGAAAAAGTATTGAACGTTTTTAGACAGCAGGGAGAGAGCACTCTCTTATCCAGGTTGGGAAGAGCAATAGCAAGTCTGGGTTGGATTGGAAAGGTGGTTGAAGAGAATGGGAAGAACCAGGAGGAAGATTGTGGAGGTGTCTTTGTGTGGGAGAAGGGAACACAGGCTCAGGCCAGCCGTGTCAGCAGGGTGGTGACTCACCTGTGAGCTGTGATGATCAAGTGAGCATCTCAGTGGAGACACTCTGGAATGGATAAAGCACTATAGAAACACGTCATGGCAATTTTCCTTTATAATTTTATTTTGTTTTAGTAAGTAATACATTCATTTGGTACAAAAATAAAAAGGTGCCAAAGGGTTTATAGTGAAAAGTCTCCCTTCTGCCTCTGTCCAGTTTCCTCCTGGAGGCAACTGGTATTTCCAGTTTTTTTGTGTGCATGCCAGAGATATTTTGTACTCATACCACCAAATGTGTATATTGTCTCTCCCTCTAATTTCAAACATTCAGAAAAGTTAAAAGAATAATATACTGAATACCACAAACCCACCACTTAGAGTCAACCCTATTAACATTTTGCCGTAATTATATGTATATGTGATGGGTTTTTTTCGCTGCATCATTTGAAAGTAGATTGTAGACATTGTGACTCTTTGCCCCCACATATTTCAGCATACAGCCCCTGAAAGTAAGGACTGCCTCCTGTTATTGCAACCAAGAAAATGAACACTAGTTCCCTAATATCCTCCAATATCTAGTCTGTATTTATATTATCTCAGATGTTCCCAAATGTCTTACAGCTGCTTTTTTCAAGCCATGCTCCGATCACTACTCACCTCTTTTTATGGTAGCATGACATATATACCTTGCTTTTTTTCCCGTTAAAGATATATCTTGGTGATTAGTCCACATCAGTAAATAAGAGTTTGTTCTTTCTTTTGTGTGACACATCTTGTACATGTACCTTAATTTATTTAACCAGTCTTTATGATAATATTTAAAAACATTGTTACTGGAAGGAATAGTAACTGTAATAACAGCTGTCATTGCTTGAACACTGAGGTCATGCTGTTTGTGTGCTGGACCTTTCATATATGTTATGATATTTAAACCTCAAGTAACCTTCTGAAGTGGGTATTGTTATCCCCCCGTTTTACAGATGGGGAGACCAAGGGCCAGGGATGAATCAGTTGTTTTCCCAGACTGTCTGGGTTTGTCTTTTTTATTATTTACAAGTCTCCTCAGGTTTTTAAAGCCTGTGTCATTGAGTCAGGGGCTAAAGTGATCTGTGCCCAGCCCAGCTTTCATCCACAGCCTTCTCTGAGTCCCTATGTCCAGCCAGCAGCAATCTCTGTCTCCCTTGTCTTGACAGTTCCTTTCTGTGTTGGGGTAGGTGGGCAGCAATGCTGGCATCGTGGGGATGACCAAGGAGCACTTGGGCTTGGCACTGGCACTCAATGTACCTGTCTTTGTGGTAGTCACCAAGATTGACATGTGTCCTGCCAACATCCTGCAAGGTAAGTGAAGCCTCCTGCTAGCAGTAGCCACTCTGATTGGGGCTGTCACCCACTGGACCTCCTTGGTAGTCTGTTGCCAAGGCTTCAGCCCAGAATCTTCTGCTTCTTCCTCCCCTGTTTAGCTCTTGGTCTGAGCACAGCCTGGAATTATCCTCTGTTCTTTATTCCTTCTGGTTCCAAATGCAGGATCCTTGAGATCCCTAATCTGGCACCTCTTTTCGGATGACCCCAGGCAGAAGGAGTTGGGCTCTACCAGCTAAGCTGGATATATATGGAGAAGTTTGAGCAGAGATCTGATTACTTTTTACCACCAAAGCTTCAACACAGGGTTGCAGGACGAGGCCTTTGTGCCTTTCTCCCTCACTGCTGAGGATGGTAGAGGAGAAGTGGAGAGGTGTCCTTTTGGAAGGCCTCATAATAAGGGTCTCTGCAGACTTCTAAATGTCTAAGAGGGCCTTTTTGTCAGGTGAGATTTTTCCAGGAAGCAGTGCATTCTGGGAAGAACATTATTTTTCTTAGGGCCCCCCCCAAGTCACTTGCTCACAGGAAATTGGTCTTCTAGAGACTCTGGTGAAATCCGCCAGGTTTCAGACTCAGAACCTTAGAACACAGGCCCTGTGCTCTTTATTCTAGTATGTACCCACCCAAAGTTTTGATCCTCCTTTTTGCTTCTCTAGGCATTGTGGCATTTAACACTGGTCCGTCTATCTGTCTGTCTCCTGCTTGCATCAGTAATGAGTGGACCCATCTTGCCCTGGAAGCCTGGCCAAAGAGAAGGCTATGTCCCCTAATTCTGTTCCATTTCACCCTTTAAGAAACCCTGAAGCTGTTACAGCGCCTGCTGAAGTCACCAGGCTGCCGGAAGATCCCTGTGCTGGTTCAGAGCAAGGATGATGTGATTGTTACAGCCTCCAACTTCAGCTCTGAGAGGTAACGGGTGGGGAGCACGCACTTCCGGGCAGGCACCGTTACCGGCAGAGCCGCAGCAAACGATGGGCCCAGAGTGACTGTCAGTTTGGGCATGAGGTCTCAGGAAAACACTACATGAGAACACCTCTTACTGTTTAGAGATTGGGGGAAGTGGAAGGTTCTGGTCTTAGCACAAGGTCTCCCAGGCTGGCATTGTTGCCCAGGGACTTTATCACGTGACCCAGATTGTGAGGTGCCAGGCTCCCTGAGGTTGGAATCCCAGCTAGGGCTTCAGTGTTCTTATCTGTGAAATGGAAATGATATTACCTTCCCCAGAGGGCTCTCATGAGTCCTGAAAGTGATGTATGTAAAGCACTTAGCACTGGGCCTGGCTGGTGTGTGGTAAATACACAGCCATTTTTTATAACTGTTATTAATTTTTTATACTCTTGTTCCTCAAAAGCTCTTTAATCACAGATCAGTTTTGGCATCTACTCATTAATGTATCCTTTCATTCCATAAATATTTATCGGATGTTTGTTCTGCCAGTCTCTTCACCTAGACATTGAGGATTCAGAGTTAACTCTAGCACAGTCCTTGTCCTCAAGCTCTTCAGCTTCTTGGTCAGAGATACGCTTTTGATAATGATGAACTTTGTTAACTCTGCCTCTTTGCCCAGAGCCCGGGGCTCCTTAGGCGCGATCTACCTCCTGGCTTGGTCTGCAGCGCAGGACTCAGAGCAGCCTGGCACTTACTCAGTGCCTCCATCCCCACGCCTCTGTTAGTACTGCCAGCTGGCCAGCAGAGGGGGCACATTCCACACAGCCCGTTCCGTGCAGCCTCTGTTCTAGCAGCTGTGGGGAATACATAATTCCTGATCTCTAGGATTTAATTCACCCTAAATAGGCGAGATAGAGGCCATTTAGATGACTCTGATGGAAAATCAGGTGTAGTCTGTGTAACAGAGACACAGAAGCTCTCCAGGAACTCAGGAGTTGAGAGTGTCCATGCAGGAAGGGTTTCATGGAAGAAGTGGTATTTGAGATGAGCTCTGAAGGATGAGAAGGATCTGGCAGTTGGATAAGAGGGGAGGAGTTCAGGAGGAAGGTCTGAGTGAGCAAACCCACAGGGGCAGGAAAGGGCCAGGCAGTTAGGAGGAGGAAAGTTTCTCTGGGATGGCTGGAATGTGGGACTTACAGGAGAAATGAATCTGCAGAGGTGGCCAGCCTGAGTGTGAAGGGCCGTGCGTCTTGGGAAAAGGGATTCACGCTATCTTCTGTGGTGGAAAGGTGAATAAGGATTTTAAGCAAGCGTGTGTAGGAGGACATGCTTGCTGCTTCTTGAGGAAGAAGAAGCAGTCTTGAGGTCCAAAGTAGGGCAGTGGTAAAGTGACAGGAAGGGACAGGTTTCAGAGACATAACTGAGTAAGGGAAGAAGGCCTTGGAGCAGGGCTGGAAAGGAGTTTGCCAGGTGGAGGCAGGTGAGGGAGAGGTGGAGTCGTGAGCAGCAACATCTGCTCCTGGAGCCCCGCTGCTGCTGCACCCTGTGTCAGGGCAGGATGCAGGCCACCTGAGCTCCTCTCTCCTTCCTTCCTCTGCCCCCTCCGTTTAGGATGTGCCCGATATTCCAGATCTCCAACGTTACAGGCGAGAACCTAGATCTGCTGAAGATGTTCCTCAACCTCCTCTCCCCCCGCACCAGCTACAGGGAGGAGGAGCCTGCTGAGTTTCAAATTGATGACACCTACTCTGTCCCCGTGAGTGGCTATGAGGGGGTGGCTGGGTGGGCACTTCCTGCAGGGGCATCAAGGGGTGGGTCTGTGGTGGGGATGGACTTACTAGGCCAGGGTCTTCTCCTTGGCAGGGCGTGGGGACGGTGGTGTCGGGGACAACACTGAGGGGCCTGATCAAGCTGAATGACACACTGCTGCTGGGCCCAGATCCCCTGGGTAACTTCCTGTCCATCGCCGTCAAATCGATCCATCGCAAGCGCATGCCTGTTAAGGAGGTGCGGGGGGGCCAGACGGCGTCTTTCGCGCTGAAGAAGGTGAGTGGTGATGATACCAAAAACTCCACTCGGGCTCCGTCATGCAAGGCTCTAGGCCAGATGCTTGACTCACCTTCTCCAGCTGATCTGCAAGGCAGGGAATACTGACTTCGTTTTGACAGATGAGGCCCAGGGATTTGCCCAAGACACACAGCTTATAAGTGCTAGAGCCAGGACTTGAACCCAGGACTACCTGCTTCCTAAGCTCTGTTCCTCTGGTGCCTGAGCAGGGTGCTCCAAGCTCAGTGGTGAGATCAGCTAGGAGTGTCCCTGCTGTGCAGAGGATCCTTCTGCACAGGGGCACTGAGGTCTGCAACAGATCCCCTTCCCATTCAGCTTTCTGTCTTCTGGGGCTTGGGGTTAGTGCTAGCTCTGGGGTCACTTGCCTTCCCTGCCAACCAAATTAACCAGGAAAAGTGGGACTTTCTCTTTTCCCTCCAGTGGTTAGGTCATTCTCACCTATCCCTTCCCCCCGAGTGCTTGCCTGCCTTTTTCTCCTCTCCCATCCTTCCAGGCCCAGCAGCTGAAATGCCAGTGCTTGCATGAAACCTTTCCTGACCCCCAGTAGCAGTGTCTGGGCTTCCCACATAGCACAAAGTCTGCTTGTGCTGGCCACCTGGAAGGCCTGTGGTCCAGTGGTTAGGGGCCAGGCTGAGTTGGGGTGATCCCCAGGACCAGGGGGTGAAACCAGAAGGCATCATTGTCCCTGAGGGCTGGGGTTCCCTCTTTCTTTCAGATCAAGCGATCGTCCATCCGGAAGGGCATGGTGATGGTTTCCCCACGCTTGAATCCCCAAGCCTCCTGGGAGTTTGAGGCCGAGATTCTCGTCCTCCACCACCCTACCACGATTAGCCCGCGCTACCAGGCCATGGGTAGGAGGCCAGGCCATGGGTAGGAGGCCCCTGTGCTAGCTCCCCCCAGAAGGTGTTCCAGGGACCCAAGCCCCATAGTTGCAGCCCCAGCCAAGCAGCAAGTCTCTGTTGTGTTTAGTGATGACATTCCCTTTGCTCCAACAAGGAGCCACAGCATTCAGTCCTGCAAACACTGCTGAAGGACCTCCTGTGCATTCCTTCAGCTATTTCTGCTGAACCTGTTGTGTGTGTTGCCAAGGGGCTGGGAACAAAGATGAGGTAGATGGGCAAGGGCCCTGCCCCCAGGAGCTCAGTCCATCGAGGAGGCACATGTGCAAACAGAGTGCCCTATAAGCTCAGGAACTAGGACCCCTGTCTGCACTGGGCTGAGAGTGGGGCATGTGGGGGTGTGGGGTCTAACTGGAGGAAAAAGGGGGAGAGTGTGAGGCGTGATCAGAGCCAGGAGCAGGCTGTGGAAGTGATCCCTGCCCTGCTGCAGCTCCAGTGTATCTCATGCTTTCACTCACTGCTGCCCCTTGTCCTGAGGCCACAGGGTGGCTCAAGTCTGTCCTGACTTCCGGCTCCCTTGGCAGTGCACTGTGGGAGCATCAGACAGACGGCCACCATACTGAGCATGGACAAGGACTGTCTGCGTACTGGGGACAAGGCCACTGTACACTTCCGCTTCATCAAGACTCCGGAGTACCTGCACATAGACCAGCGGCTGGTGTTCCGGGAAGGCCGCACCAAGGCTGTCGGCACCATCACTAAGGTATGGCCGGGGCAGACCTCACCAGCCCCCAGGGAGCACCAGGGGCCACTCCTGTTCTAGTGACCTTGAGCACAACAGGCTCTTCTCGAGGAACCCTGAGGAATCTCCCTAACTTCTAGGGACAGAGGCACAGTCACTGCTTTGGGAGAGCTAGACCAGCTCTGAGGTGTTGCCTCAGTGCCATCTTCTCTGCGCCCCCTGAGAGGTGGTACTAGGCTTCCCGTTGTGGGCATTGGTGGTGACTGTGGAGGAGAGAAGTTTCAGTTGGGGCATGGCCTTCCTCCGTAGGAAACTGGTGGCAGAGTGTCTGGGCCTAGCCAGGGTCAGGCTCCAAGGTACCAGCGCAGGCTCCTATGGCCTGGCTGGGGCTGTGCCTAAGGTCTCCCCTTGGAGCAAGGGTCTGGTTGGAGTGAATGCTAGACAGTGCAGAGGGTTATGGGCCTGAGTTCCCCTGGGGCTTGAGCTATTGATATACCCTGGAGCCTACCTTTTGCCCTCTGCACACCTGGCCCATGGCCTTGTGTAGGGACATTGATAGAGGTTTGACCCCTGCTCCATATGGAGGAGGAAGTGGCCCAGCCTGTCTGAGATCTTAGAATTTCCCTTAGTTGCCTTTTCTCCAGAATGGCCTTCCTCGGGCCCACCCATGCATGGTGACCCTGGGGCTGCAGTGTGTGTGTGTATGTTGGGGAGGTGGGGGTCATGTCCTTGAAGACCTGTTTGCCTCTGGGACTGGCTGAGAATTTGGCAGAGGTTGCAGCACACACTGTAGTATCCTCTATAGACTGACTGGGCCTCTTCCCTGCTTTGTTTAAGATTGAACTTAGACCACAAGGGAAGATTTTGAGTCAGTTGCTCCTGACTGATGGTAGATTTAAGATTTCTGATAGCCAAACTCTGAATGTTCCCAGCTGACGAGACATTGACTTGGTCTCTTTGGGAGGCCTGAAGTTAAAACTTGCCCTAGACTCTTGTCACAGGGGCAGCAGCAGGATCCTGGGGCTAGAGATGCAGTTGATGCTCTGAGTCATGTTGGTCAGCTGAGTAGGCAAAAGAGCCTGGAGCTTGACTCACCAGGCCCTGGGCAGGCTGGACCCAGCTGAGCTGAGTGAGGGGTGGCAGAGAGGCTCACATTTCTCTGCAAGGACAGCAGCTACAGCAGAGAACAAGATGGAGTCTTTCTGGGCTGGGCAGAGGCAGGAAGTGAGTGGCAGCCCAGGGTCATGGCAGTCCTGAGCCACTGAGTGGGGATGAGAATACCTTTCTGTCCCCACTGCCTTCTGTCATGGCCCTCCTGCCATCTGCCTCACCCTGGACCGTCAAGACCAGGGAATGAGAAGTCCCTGAGAGAAGGGGCGGGGAAGACCTCTCCGTCCACACTGCCCTGCAGCTCCAGCCTCGTCCTCACCCCCTTGGCTCCTGCAGCTCCTCCAGACCACCAACAACTCCCCGATGAACTCCAAGCCCCAGCAGATTAAAATGCAGTCGACGAAAAAGGGCCACCTGACCAAACGAGAAGAGGGGGGCCTATCCAGCGGGCCGGCAGTAGGAGCACCCCCACCCGGAGACGAAGTGTCCTCTCTAGGGGCTACACAGCCAGCTGCATCCAGTAGTCTCCCGCCGCAGGTGAGCGTGGGCCCCTCATGGCTTTAGGCAGGATGGCAATGGCTGTGGCTGTTACTCTGATTTGGTGGAGGGGACACTTCGCAGGAGCACCTCAGGCATAGATAGAAGGTGTTTTCAACACACCTGGCACATAAGTGCCATCCAAACAAGAGCTACTTGCCTCTGTAAGTTGTAAGGCAGTGTTTGTCACAGCATGGGTGTGGCCTACCTAAAAGGAACTTAAGTGGTCCTGGCTAGCACTTGGTTTTAATGAAAGGGAATAGAATAACGTCAAGATCTCCCTTTCATAGCAAGAGTGAATGTGTGCGTGTGCCAGTGATGTATGTGTGCGCTGTAGGCCAAGAGGTTTGAGAGATGCTGCCTTAGAGGGTCCTCTGGTGTCCCCTCCCTGACATGCCAACACGCACACGTCCTGAATGGGAGGCAGCCTTGGGCTGTGTCACTACGGCTCTTACTTGGCATCTCCTGCTGGCTGTCCCTCCTCCTCTGCCCTGAGTTCTCCCCTGGCCTGATGAAGGCCTGGCGCCCCTTTGCACCCCTCTCCCCAGGGTCTTTCTCTGCCTTCCCATCTTTAGAGGAGGTGGCTCTGCTTGGGTCCTTCTGTCCCTTCCTCTGTCTCCTGCTGAGCCCTTCCCCAGCTTGTTCATTTCCTTTCCCTTTTCACTGCCAGCAGTGGTGAGTGCCAATCCCTTCTCTGCTTTGTGCTTCTCTGAATGGCTCCCCTCCCACCATTGTCACATGTGTCCACCGCCCTGCGAGGAAGGCAGGGTGGGCACTGCCCCACCATATAAACAGAGGCAGTGCTGTGTGCAAGGTCACCTCTTATATTCCAGGTCAGGCAAGGGCTGGGACCACACTGCCTGCTGGCCCATCTTCTCCCGTCCAGCTCTCCCTGCTGTCTGGCCCCTCTGCTGTCCCATCCTGCTCCCAATGGGCCAGTGCTTCTGAAGCTCCTTCTTTTTCTCTTTCAGCCCAAGCCCAGCAGTGGGGGCCGGCGACGAGGGGGCCAGCGCCACAAGGTGAAGTCCCAGGGGGCCTGTGTGACTCCTGCCAGCGGATGCTGAATCTTACCCAGCCCACCCCCCACCACCCAAGGGGTCCTCACACTCTGGCCACTGCTCCACCAGAAGGACAGAGCAGCTCTGACTGCCACCCACTCTCCCCCCAGGGCCACAGCCAGAGCCTCCGCATTGCCCCACCCCCATTTTCCAGGGGGTGTGTAATTTATGAGCTGAGGAAGATGGCTGGACTCCCGGAGGACTGACCATCTCCCACCCTCTTCCCTGCCTTCTTCCTCACTCACATGTTTTTTGTACATCTGGGCCCTTAGTTTTTATTCTGTTTATTATATGTCTCTGTCTCTCTCTATTCTGTGTGTGTGTGTGTGTGTGGCGCAGGAGTGCCACCGCCAGGGCCCTGTCAGTCTCTCTCCTTTTCTCCTCCATGGCTGCCCAGCTGCCCGCCTGCCTGTGTGTCTCCGTGAGAATCCTCAGGGCCGTGAGGGCATGTCAGGAGCTGAAGGAGCCCAGCTTCCCTGTCTCACTGCTCCTCTCGGCACTCAGAAGCCCCTTCCGTGGAGCCAGACTGGGCAGAGGGGCTTCTGGGATTCAGTGCTGCTGCCAGAGCAGGGAGTCCCCACTCTAGGACTTGGGGATTTTAACAGGGAGAAAGCGATGGCTTCCCCTTTTGTCTCTCTCCCTCTTTTTCCCTTTAAGCCCCCAAACAGGTAATGCCAAAAGCTCTCCTGTTGTGACCTGTAGATGTGTGGAACGCAGTGGCAGTGGGATTGTAGGACTCTCCCTGCCCCGGACTCTGACCCAAAGACATCTGGTGGGGTTTCCCCATGGAGACAATCCTGTGTTTGCCTGGGCTGGCCCCGGCTACGCCTGGCTTTGCCGACCTGCTCAGCCTGGAGCCTCTCCCTATGCCCAGGAGCCGCCCTCTGTGGACTTGGGCTTTTTGTTGGGCCTTGGGCACCAGTTACTAAATTGAGGTCTGGGTCTGCTCAGGATCATGTCTTCTAGTCCCTCGTGTTCCTGGGGTGAAAGGGTGTTCCTCTGGGCTAGGCCAGGACTGGAACCCCTCCTTCCCTGCCACATGGCCCTAACACAGCTGCTACAGGAACACAACAGTAAAGGGCCTGAGCCCCAGGTTTGGAAGCCCCGATTGGGGTGTGGGGTTAGGCAGGTAGAGGGTAGCGAAAAAGACTCCTCCAGGCTCAGCTCAGAGCATTTAGCCTCCTGGAAGAGCCCCTGCATGGGTGGCAAGTGGGGTTTTACAGGCCACAGGTGGTGACATGGGCCCCAGTCAGCCTGGACTCAGCTCTGCACTGAAGCCCTTGGTGTAGGGTAGGCTGATGGGCGGGGGGTGTTCCTTCTCTAGCTGGGGCAGACACCCAGCTGGCTGGGTCCTTCCTCAGCCTTGCCTCCTTCCTGTCCCCAACCTTCTCCTTTCCTCCTGCTTCCTGACTGCTGGTCCCATCTCCTCCCCTCCTTCCAACTGTTTCTAGTTACCACTGACCCATGGCCGTGGACCGATCAGACCAGCATCAAAATAAAAGTTTGTTTCAAGGTGACAGTGTTGTGTTCCCTGCCCAGCCCCTCCAGGTGGAGGTGCTGCCATGGGAACGCTGTTGCTCTGCCTGCCCTTGAGCCCCTGGCAGCAGCTGGGAGCAGGGCAGGGCTGCGAGGAGCCCAGCTGCCTTGTCAGGCAGGTATGGCTTCCAAGTTAGGGCTCCTCCACCAGCTGTGTGACACAGGGCAAGTTACCAACTTTCTCTGAACCTCAGTTTCCTCATCTACAGCAAGAAGCAAATCCCAACATCAGGGCTGTACAAATTCAGTGAAAGAACGTAGGTGAGGCCTTGGCATGCCCCACACGTGGGAGGTGCTTGCTCAGTGCGTGGGTCACCACGCTGTTGACCACCCATGCCACCTCTGCACCCTGGGTGGGCTCTAAAGGGGAGACATGGCACTGATGTGTTTGCTGCAGCTAGGACTGCCAGGGGGTCTCACGCTTCATATTCTTTGACATTCATAGCTACCATCTCTGAGGTAGATGTCATTAATTCTGTTTTTCTAGTTAAGGAAACTGAAGCTCAGAAGTGTCACCAGCAGGTGTGAATTCCTGCACCAGCCTTGCAGCTTGTCCTCTGGCCCTTCCCCATTCCCTTGTCTATTGGCTGCTTCCCTCTTGCCTTTCGCCCCGGCTCTGGCTCCGCTTCCAGGCAATGCTGCCCACTGGTGCCTTCGTAATAGGAGGCCTCCAGCGTTGAATGCCCCGGCATGGCAGGGGCCGTGGAGTGCGTGTTTCCACAGGACTTAGCCATGGCAGAACCTCATTTTGTTTGAACTCTTTTGCCCCTATAAGCGGCAGTGGTTGCTGAAACCATTCTTTGCATTCAGGAGCTCTGGCCACCACCCTGGCCTCTGCCCTCAGACATGCAGGAGGGTGGGTCTGGATCTGTGTAGTCACCAGGTGCATACCAGGCCAGCAGGGAGCTGACTGCATCCAGTGTTGACAGGGACAACAAAGGTCCCTAGAGGTCTCAGCCCTCCTGACTATCCATTTGGAACAAAACACCAGCCCTTTTGTAGTTGAAGAATAAAGTTAATCCAATTATCTCGAATGGCAAGGCCTGGCCCTTCTGTGTGTGCAGCAGGTGTTTGTGGCGTCTTTACCAGGAATAAGGCCTGTGGTGGTGGGATGAGGACAGAGGTGGCCAGGAGCCCCAGCTTTACAGTCAGGACCACTGTGCCAGCTTCTTGGCCAGCCCAGCACAGAGACGAGGTAACGGGACCATGTCATGGAGCAGGGGCAGCACAGGTTTGATTGGGTTTGGGGGAGTGCCGTGGAGAAACATGAGGGTTTTACCGTGAGGGGGGCGCTAGGATTTGCATGTGGACAGAGGGCAGGTGCCCAGCTGAGGTGGGCACGAGCAGAGGCACTGGGCTCTGATGCTGTCAGGACTTGCTCATTGGTGCCTCTCAGGGATGTTGCATTTGTTGAAAATGGCACTCGAGGCAGAGCAGGTGTTCAGTGAAGCAGGGGAGTGAGCACAGGACCAGCTCTTTCCCTGGGCCCAAAGGCGCCAGGCTGGATCTGTGCTGCTCTCAGCACCTCTCCTGTGGCTGTTTGTCCCCACGCCCCTCCCTACTGACTGGTTCCTGCCTTTATCTTCTCAGCCATGATGAATACCAGCCCTGGGCCAGGTGCCATGGTCAGGACAGAAGTCTTCAGAGTCCACTAGGGAATCACCCCTGGACCAAATCTGGGGAGCTGTTTGCAGGGAAGCTCAGGACCTATTTCTCCCAGAGGTTCAGAGGATCCACTTCCTTGTCCCTGCCCAGCCACACGTATAAGGGGCAAATACCTAATTCCCATGGAAGAGAGTCCCTGCACTCCAGGTGGACGGGGCCAGTAGGTAAGTGTATAACTTTTTCTGCTTCTGCTCAATGGCACTGATAGGGAAGCCCCCTCCTCTGTGATGGGGTATCAGTGACAGCTAAGAAAGGCACCCTACTACTTCTGCCAACTCTTGACCCAGAAACACTGGAGTAGACCTGCCTCAGGTCCTGTTCCCCATCACAACTGGGTTTTAGCTAAAAGTCCTGGTCTCTAAACTTTAGGAATCTGGGGACATGACTTTGGCCAAAACTTCATTCCCTCGTTTTCCCAAGAGCAGTGGCCACATAAAAAGCACATTTCATTGATCCTGGGCATTGTTTATTTTTTGCATAGGCATAAATTAGAATCTGGAGATAAAAAACGTAAAAACCAGTAGTGCAGCATTTGTGACAGGAGAGCGCAAAACACCACCTGGCCGTTGCAGGGTGGGGCGGGGCCGAGGGGGCCAGCGATAGAGGGACAGGAACAGCTGCTCACCACCACCTGCTCCAGAGCCACTTCGGGGCCCAGCCCTGTAACAAAGGGCACCTGTCCACACAGCAGCCCTCCTGCCTGTTCCACGCAGGCCCAAGCCCCCTCCCCAGCCAGGAACAAGGAACCGAGTATCACCCAGTGCCCCACAGAACGGGGCTAGGAATCAAGCCCTTAGCTTTTCAGTTAAAAAACAGACCTTGAAAAATATATACATAATACAGTAGGGCCTGCTAGGTCTAAAAGCCCCTTCCTCATCTTCCCTACCCAGGGTAAGTTCTGCCAGCCATCCCCTACCAACTGTCCCCTTAGAGAACAAGCCAGAAAGGAGACAGGATCTGAGCAAGAGCTGAAAGAGCCCAAGCGGGTAGCCTGAGGGTAGGGCCCTGACACTAGTGCCTGACCAGTTGGGGGTGTACAAGTGCAGACAGCCCTCCTGACACCCTGGACACCACCATTGGCAGTGTCACTGGACCAGGAGAGAGAAAAGGAACTACTCCCCTTTGCAGAGGAGAAGCCTGCAGGGCTGGCCCAGGCCCTCAGAGCCACACAGGCAGCAGCCTTCAGAGGCTCGCAAGAGCTAGGCCCCTCTAGGGTACAGGAAGCCCCATGGCCCATTTCTGCCTGGGACAAATAACAGGCTTCTATAGATGCTCCTCAGGGACCCTGTGGTTCAGGCTTCCCTAGGATGATGGCACTAGTCTTGCTCTAAGAGCCCAGAAGCCCTACACCAGGCACTTCCTGCCTGGGGACAGTCCCATCCTGCCCTGTGCCGAGAGCCTTCCTCCCAGAGGGTCCCACTTCCCTGCCAGGGGAGGGGGTGGCCACCCCTCCCACAGCTTTGGCACCTGCTTCCTCCACATGCCCCCCCACAGCAGCTCCTAGGTGCAGCCCCCCACCCTGGGCAGGGGGCAGTCGGAGCTCACCTCTCCCCCCTCCCCATCCCCCATGATATGCTACATATGTACACGCTCCCAGGGGGAAGGGGACGCCACTCAGCACTGCCTGAGCAGAAGGCAGAGTGAAAGGAACCACCCGAGCCTGCTGGCCGCCTCGAGCTGCCCGTGCCTTCTCGTCTCCATGTGGCCAGCGCTCCTGGCTCTTGCTCCCGAAAGTCAGAGTGCTGATCAAGCGTGTGGAGGAAGCGGTGGGTACTGCTCACCCACTCCCAGGCGGCCGGCGGCAGGCACGAGAAAGCAGGGCTAGTGGGCAGGCTCCCCGTGCACCCTGAAGCGGTAGATGCAGGTGTACTCGGGGTGGCCCCAGTTAGTCAGGATCCGCAGCTCCACCACCTGGTATGTGGCCATCTGAGGGGCCTGGGTAGAGAAGAAGGGGGTTGAGAGCTCCAGAGTCCAGGGAGACGGCCTCGCCAAGGGCAGAGGGCTTCCCATTCCTCCCAGCTCTGGAGAGAACCGGGCTCCAGAAGCCCTGTCTTCAGTCTCTGGAGCAGTTTCCAGCCAGTGGGCCAAAGAGCCTCAGGGGCTTCAGTGCTCCTAGGGGGCCACCAACCCATGAGCCTGCGCTAAGGCCTGGGCCTCGGGCCACGTGAAAATGGTCTTGGTACTGAGGACAAGCACAATTCATGCAAAACTGGAATGAATTCATCCATAGTGGCTGTTTTATCATTATCCATGGATACAACCACCTTCACAGAGGGTTTGAGAGATGTTGACATAACGCACAATTTCTTCTTTTCTTTCTTAAGTGCCCATGGAGCCCCTGTCCCTTATGCTCATTGTGCCTGTGTTTGAGCCAGCGTTTGCAGCAACTCTCACCTTGACAGATGCCACTGGCCTAGCGAGCTCCTGCTCGACCCCTCTCCTCCTGGCCTTTCCGACACAGCCTCTCGTCCTCCCCCCTCCCCCGGCTCAGTTATCACCTTGGAGCTGACAACTCAGTCTTTACATCTAGTCCCCAGCAGCTCTGCTGGACTGTCCCCCAGGTGCCTCAAACTCGGCCAGTCCTGCTCCCGTCCCACCTGATGTACAGGACCTTCCCACTGTGTCTCCATCCTCACTCCCAATATCCCCTTTGGACCCCATCAGTTCTGGCTGTCTTCCCTGCAACCACCTCCTGACAGGGCTCCCTGGCTCCAGGCTTGCCCTCCTTCAATCCACCATTTATACGTGGTTACAGTGACCTTACCAAAATGCACACCATATTGTCATCTATAGCACAGCAGTGCCAGCCCCCACAGCCCTGAGGGCTGAAATTCCTGCCATTGTCTCTTGCCCACCTCTTGAGATTCTCCCCAACCCCACCCAATTCCTCACACCAGGACTCCCCTGGGTGGGGCTTGGCTGCTGCCTCAGATCCATCTGGGTGGTTTGTTCAAATGCCAGCTCCTGGGTCCCCTCAGCCCTAAGGAATCAGGCGCTTCTGGGCTGAAGACTGGGAATCTGCATTTCTAACTCGGGCCTAGGAGATCTGCCGCCCGCTTAAGTTTCAGCCCCATGCACTGCCTGAAGTTGTGGCTGGTGGCTCCTTCTAGAATGCCCCTCACAGCCTTCCTTTCCTGGCAACCCCAGCTCTCTCATAAACCTCCCCTCTATGGGGCCCTATTCCAGGAAGCTTCCCTGGTGCTGCCCTTCTGGAAAGTGGCCTCCCCTGCGCTCATGTCTACAGGCTGCATCTTACACCCCATTTGGGTGTTGCCTCTGGTTCTGTATCTTGAGCTGGGGGAGGGGAGGGCAGGGGCTGTGTCCTCCCTCTCTGAACCCCATGCCTGGCAGAGTAAGTGCTGGGGAAACATCCGCTGCCCGCGTGGGGAGGTGAGTGTGCCGCCTCCGCTAGCACAACAGAACCCGTACCTGAAAGTGAAAGGTCTGAATGGGCTCGCCATCCTGATCGTAGGTGAACTTGCCAAGAAGTGTCCCCTCCTGCTGCAGGTCTTCATCAAACCCCTGCAACAGAGAGCAGAGGGATGGAGGGGAGAGGCGTCGGGGTGGGGTAGGTGCGGAGCAGGGAGAGACACTCTCCCCACCAGCAAGTCAGGCACCAAGGTGGCCTGTGATGAGTCACTGAACTCCCGTGCCTTGGTTTCTTCCTCCGAAGTCTGAGATAAGTGGGCCTGAAGTGCCCTCTCCCACCCTGGCTCCACCTCTTCCTAATCCCCTCCCTCCCTCCCAGCCAAGGAGAGACTCACAGGATCCTCCCGCAGCCCCTCCAGTCCCCCAAGAGTGGATACTCACAAAGATGGCAAAGTCCTTGGGTGCGCTGGAGATGGTGCTGTTGGGCGACAAGGCCTTGGGCACGTGCTCTAAGGTGACAGCCGTGGGGCGGATGCGGGCAGAAAGGCGGACCACAGCAAAGCCCTGGGGCCCCTGGAAGGCCCAGCAGTTGCCTGGATGCACATCTGGCTGGAGGGGCAGAAAGTCACGTCAGGGCAGGGCCCGCATCCGGCTCTCCCTGACCCAGGGCGGGACTGTCCCCAGTGTGCTCAGAGCCCCACTGCTGTCCTCACTGGGTGCCCACCTGGAGGATGACCCGGGGTGACTGGGAGTGGTACCACAGGGGGATGCCGAACAGGCTGAGGAGGGCCGTCTTGGTCTCATAGGTCTCGGAGCATCGGGTGCTGATAACGCTGGCCCCTGGGATGGGAAAGGAGGGCAGGGTGGGCTCCCGCAGGGAACGAGGACCCGGACAACCCACTCCGGCATCGCCCTTCTCCTCACTGAGGATGGAGGCAGATGCCCCACGCCTCATCTTTAGCCCTAACCCAGACTGCCAGAGATGCTGTCACCGTAGCCTCTCCCCCAGCCTAGGATGGTGCTGGGGACACTGACTCCCCTGTACTGCCACTGGCCTGTGTCGTGAGTTCCAGGTCAGGGGGTCTGCTGCCCTCAAGCCTTGCTTGCTTAGCACCTCAGCTGGCCCAGCAGATGCCAGGGGACCAGCCACTGCAGGGACCAGGACAAGGCGAAACGAGAAAAGTGGCACACACACCTCCGGATTCCAGGGCATAGTCCACCATCCCGATGCGGTCCTCGCTGTAGCGCTGCAGGGCTTGCTTCACAATGCGGTGCACCTGCTGAAACACGGGGGTGGGGCCGTTGCAGCGGGGAGAAGACTTGTCCACCTGCACCCCACTGCCATGGGCCAGGGACGTAAGGACTGACCCTCCTCTGCCTGCACTGTGCTGGTGCTCAGCCAGAGATGGGTGTATGTCCACCCACCCACAGCAGCCCCAAAGCACATGGGGCTCCTGCATGGCACTTTTGTCGCGGAGGATACCAAGGAGCTGGTAGCGTGGGACCGTCCCGGTCTATAGCTCCCAGGGAGGAGAGCTGTGTGCGTGCGTGTGTGTGTTTGGGGGGTGGCATGTGGTCCTCACCTCCTCTGTCACCCCGATCACGCCTTCTTTTTGCAGCGTCAGTCCCAGGGAGGCTGCAGCCTCCCTGGCTGACTTGCCCTGCATCTGTGCAACGTGGGCGAGGATCTTGCTCTCCAGCTCTTGCAGCTGAGCTTGCATCTCCTCTCTCTGAAGAAGCCCAGTGCGAGTTCCCCCACCTCGGAGGAGGAACTGACTGATCCAGGCAGGGAACTGAGATTCCACCTAGGCACCAAAAAAAGGTGTCACCTGGGAGGTTGCAGGGACAGCAGGAGCTGCTATGGCAAGGCCAGGGCAGGGCAGTGCTCAGTTTGGCAGCAGGGTTAGGGGAGGAGGGAGCCACTGGAGGAAAGATTTACGAGCAACCCCCACCGGTATGGATAGAAAGACAGGAAGAACACCCAACAAAGAGAGCCAACGCGTGGGCCAGAGGCACCTGCTGGGCAGACCCCCAGGGTGCATGGTCTCAGAGGAGACAGCGTTCCCACTCACGTCATCCCGCACAGCCTGGATCTGCTGAGGCAGCAGGCCCACTTCATCCGCCACTGAGCTCTGCTTCAGGGTCAGGGCTGCCAGCTCCTGCCGCAGGCCCGCCAGCTGGTCCTCCAGCCGCCCCAGCTCCTTCACGGAGCTCTCCCGGAAGGACTCCTGGGTCATCCTAGACCCAGAAAGAGAAGAGTAAGCCTTGGATCTCTTGTCGGTGGTAAGGCCATGCTGAGAAGAAAGAAGACCCCCCAGCTGGCCCCTGTTATGAGGGCGTGTGCCTACCACCCATCGTGAACGCAAGAGGGCACGGTCTCCCCTGGAGAGTCTGGCTGTAGAACACAGCACAGGTGCCTGGGAACTGGCTTGCCTGTCCCAAGGAGCTAATTCTGATCCTGCGCCCTTCCTAAGCCCAGAGTTGGTGTTTCCTCTGCCTCAGCCTCTCACGTCCTTGACAAGTGCGGACACCTGAGACGTGAGGCTGTAAGAAAAGACAGTGTGTCTACAAATGAATCCCGATCCTACCACAGTGCTGCCTCCTGCCTCGGCGACCCTGCCAACCTCCCGGGCACCTCAAAGACAAGCTCTAAGCAGGGGTCCTGAGCTAGGTTTCGGCCATCGCCTCTCTGCTTGGCAACAGGATCAGAACTTTGCTCTGGGGCTCTGCTCCCCAGTCCTGCTTGCAGGGGGCGGGTGGGGCAGCTGGGGAAGAGCAGGCCCAGGCCAGCTGGCGGCACGTGTTACCTTTGCCACTCTGACTTCAGCTGATGCATACGAGCCTCAGACTCCTGTGAGCAGGAAGAAGGGACAAATACAAAAATTACCAAGCTCAGAAATCTGTCTCCCGGAGTTGGATCTGCTCTGTCAGAATCTTTGCTTAACCACGTCCCTGCTCTGGGGTCTCCTGACCCCTGCAGCATACTAACCCCTAACCCTAAATCAAACTGGCCCCCTGGTCAAAGTCCTTATGAGAAGCTGGCTCCGGGTCTGACACACTCAGGCATTTGTCCGTCATCCATTCGTTCAGCACGCGCACGCCCAGGACAGTGGGCTGCTCTGCCCCCAACACATCCCAGGGTGTCCCTGCAGAGCGTTCCAGCTGAGGCAGGCCCGGGTCAAGCCCACAAGTCGGGGACTGCACCCCCTCCCCACTCAACATCGAAGCAGCCCCTTCCAAAGGGCCAAGGGGGCTGAGGTGTTTCTCTCAGTCCAAGAACACGTTGAATTGGATCAGGACCCCATCGCAGCCCCTCAGCATCCCAAGCCCACCGACCTGGGAGGCTTGGACGATCTTCTTGAAGAGGTCTTCTGCGTCTTGTTGATGTTCTGCTCGCAGGGTGGCCAGTTCTTCCTATTGGACATGAAGAGTGGGCCCAAGATCAGAGTTGAGCTTGGAGGGCCCTTACGGCTAGGAAGTGGCATAATTAGAATTCAAGCCAGGTCTGTTTGCTTTCAAAGCTTCAGTTCCGGGCCTTTATGTTCCAGCGCATCCCTGAAGCATGCAAGACTCCCACTTCATCTCCTGCGCACGCTCAGTGCAGCGGGTGCCGTGCCAGGGCCCCGCGATCGCACGTCTCACAACTCGGAGAGCGGGGAGATGTGATAGTCTCCATTTTAAAGAGGAGGAAACTGAGGCCTAGTGAGGGGAGTAACTGCCAAATGGCAGAGCTGTCCAATCCCAAGTGACATCTGCTCGCTCTCCGCCCTCCGCCCCACCTGCCAACAGCCGTGCGTTCCCATGGGTGTCACCCACACGACACTCAGCTCCCACCCTGAGGCACTCTGCCCCCACCTGCAGGCGGGAAGCGGCGTCCCTGCGCAAGTCCTCCTTCAGGGCAGCCTCGCGGCGGTTCACTAGCCCCTCCAGCAGTGCCAGGGTGTCCTCATGGCTCAGGCCACCACTGCCTCCGTGGCCAGCAGCCCCCTGCCACAGCTCCAAGCGTTCCAGCCGCAGGGCCTCCTTCTGCCAGTTGGAGGAAAATTCAGCAGCAAGAGCTTCCAGACGTCGTTCCAGAGAGTGCACCCGGGACAGAATGTGCTGCTCAGCCTGGCAGGGTAGGGAGAGAGAGCCACAGGGGTGAGGGACACTCAGATGACAGCACTTGCGGAAGACCACTCTGATACAGCTGACGGGGGAAGAAAGGGAGAAGATCCCGGAGGCACCCCGTGGCAAGCACATGCCGGGCTGGGAAGCTGGAGCGCGTGGGCTGGGGAATGCCGAGCTCTGAGCTGGACGTGCCGTGTGCAGGGTCGGACGCAGAGCAGGGTCCCTGAGGCCACGGGGTGGGCGTCTGATCCCCCAGGAGCAGTGAAGGTAGGCCGGGGAGAGGGTCTGAGTGCAGGGACAGTCCAAGAAGAGGACTAGAGAAGCTGCAGGGTGGCCGCAGGAGGCCAGGTGACCTGCTGGGCTCAAGTCACCCCCTCCCCTCCTCCTACAGGTGCGAGAGAGCAACTCTCAACAGCTGTCACTCCTTCCGTAGGTGACTATAGCTAGAAGATAAGATAATTTGAAAACATTTTCTTTTTCCTCTTTAACTGGATGTTAAAGAAAAGATGGAATAAAAGTCATTTGGACCTGAGGGTGGCATTTGATAGTGTGTCAAGAATTTTGAGAACCTTGTTGGCTTAACAACAAAATCTTTGCCAAGAGAAATTATAAAACATAGTCTGTCAGCTGTCAATTAAAGGTAGGCAGCTGCTGAGTGGCAGAGTTTGTGATTTTTAGAATTTCCCTTTTTTAAACAGGCAATACATTTATATGACTCAAAAAGTGCACGAGCACACAGCAGAAAGTCACGCTCCTAACCTCTGCCCCCTCCACCCAGCGCGCTCACACTGCCCCTGCCAGACCAGGCAACTGTTTTCATTGGTGTCTTCATGCAAATGTAAGCAAATACAAGATGCGTTCATTTATTACTTCCCCCCTTTTACAGAAAAGGTGGTTCTGAAATTGAATTGGATTTAGTATCATTAATCATTAAAAACAGAAAAGTCATAGATGAAAGCTATCATTATTTTATGAAATAATAAGATCATGGTCAAGAAAGTAATACACACAGAAAAAGACAGTTAAAAGTGTGATGCCAAACTAAATTCAGTGAGATGCAAGCGCAGTTCAAATAACTATGATTAGAGGATGGAGAGTTTTAAGTTTCTGTCGGCACCAGGACCTGTGCGCACGCACCGCTGGTCGTGCTGCCTGCGGCTCCTGGAGGGCGCAGCCTGGGCGCGACCCATCTTTAGACTCTGGCAGATCACAAACGTGGCCAGTGTCCCTCACCCCTCCCTGTGTCCACACCCTCTGCAACATGATGTTGTAGGTTCCCCCGCTGCGAGGTGGAGTTCATTTCCCCTCCTTGCATCTAGACTGGCTCTGTGATATGCTTCGGCCAACAGAACGAGGTAGAAGGGACAGTGTACTGGTTCTCAATCAAGGCCTCAAAAGGTCTGGCTGGCCCTGGTTCTCTCTTGGGACCCGGCCTGGGTGCTATGAGCACAAGCCCGGGCCAGCCTGCTGGGTGACAAAAGTGCACGTGGAGCACAGCTGTCCCGGGCAAGGGCCTACACCAGCCAACCCTGAGCTGACTCACCAGCCAACTGTGCACGCGCGCACACACGCACAGACACACATGTGCACGAGGGAGCCTAGCCAAGATCGCTGGTCCTTCCTTGCTCAGACCAGAAGGGCCACTCAGATGACCCATAGATTAATAAGCTAACGAAATGCTTTGTGGTTTTAAGCCACTGATCTTAGCAGTGGTTTATTTACGGTAAGAGATACCCAAGCAGGACATCGCCTTACTCATAGAAGGTGCTCAGTAAATGTCTGTGAAACTATATTGAAAAGGAACAGAGTAGATGAGACCATTCATCAGGTTCCTTTTCCTTTTGTTTTCTGTACTTCTTAGGATGGCAACTCATTTTTGGACACAGTTTTGAGTCATATTTAAGTGCAGGCAACCGACCCCCCAGGCACCTGCACCCAAACAGTTAACGAAAGGGACATCCTAGCTGGGACAGCATCCCTCGGCTTTGTGTGTAGGTGTCAGGCAGGCTGCGGGAGTGTCTGCCCCTTTCACCGTCACATAATTGTTGTTAATCTCTTGGGAGCCTCCCACCCTCAGACATGTACCTGGAAATGCGGTGAGTCTCTGGAGTCCCAGCCCTCGTGCTGCCGCCTGCTGTCCTTCGCTGCCCACCAGGAAACCACAGCCGGGTGCAACGTCTGCAGCCCATAGGGGTAGAAATACCAGGCACCTGTGCCCAGGGGAGAGGCTGGTTACCCAGGCCGGGCTCTCCAGCAGGAGGCACACACCGGGGAGGGCGGCAGCCTCATCTCTGCCGGTCACCATGGCCTGCCTCACCCATGGGAGCGGGCACTGCTGGAGGCAAGCAAGGGATGCAGATGCCCACCGCTCTCTGCGGCGGCAACTTCCACCTGACAATCTCAGAGCATATGCATCCTCACTCCCCACCCCGCCCAATCCTGGGAGAAAACAGCTTTAACGAGTGAGGGATGCCCAGGGGTAGAAGCCAAAGGCCTCCGGTGGTGGTTCTCAGCCCTGGCTGTACATCAGCATCACCTGCAGAGCTTTCAAACAACCAGCCCCTGGCCCTGCAGAGAGCAGTTAATTGGCCTGGGCTGGGGCCCCTGCACGGGAGGGTTTTAAACGCTCCCCACATGGCCCCAAATGGGCTGCAGGGCTGAGGATCTCTGGAACAGAATGTGCCTCCCCTCTAAGAGAGGCTGCGTGCGGCCCCAGAACAAGAGCACCAAGCTGCAGCCACACAGGGACACTCAGGTCTTGCTTTAGGGGCCATCTGTTTGTGACCTGTTTACTCCTGAGCTCCGTGGCCGGGGTGGGGGCGAGGCGGGGAGAGGAGAGAACCTGGAAGACATATTGGCTGAGGGTTCCCTATCCTGGTGAGACCCCATGCTTGCCACTCAGCATCAGCCATTGGCAGGTGCAAGGGGACACACAGGCTCACTGGGCTTGGAGCCCGGCGTGAACGCGGCCCTCAGTGAAGCTCTCCCTGAGCAGGTCACTCAGCCCTCTCCACGCGTATCTCCACGTGATGTGATCATGGCATTGGCTCTTCCAACCCCACGAGGGCACGGTGAAGCCAAATTAAACTTGTAATGCATGGGAAAGTGCTCTCTGGATAAAATGCTATGCAGTTATAAAGGATCATTATTATTTTAGGGGCGATGCCCAGTTTCCGCTGGATACGAACAAGCTGTTTTAGTAACAGGAAACACAAAAAGGAAACCAACGTTTGGAAAAATGCTCTACCCAGTTATTAATAAAAGATATACAAGTTGAATAGATGCTAAACCTATAAAACCAACTCTCTAAAAAGAAAATAAGGCATGGTCTTTAATTATAAATTGGTTCAATCATTAGAATTGAGCCTGGAGCTCTGGAGCAACTCTCATGACACTGAAACCGGAGAAGTTGTTGAAAGAAACGCTGAACACAAACTGTCTCTATAAACATGTCTGTGCTGGGGACTGGAACCATGCAGCTGGCAAATGACGCTATTGGCATAAAAAGAGGCACTTATTGCTCTTTACTACTTAACTCGTTTTTGTTTTGTTTTGTTTTGAGACAGAGTCTCACTGTGTTGCCCAAGCTAGAGTGCAGTAGCATCATCACAGCTCACAGCGACCTCAAACTCCTGGGCTCAAGTGATCCTCCTGTCTCAGTCTCCCGAGTAGCTGGGACTACAGCCACACGACACCACGTCCAGCTGATTTTTCTATTTTTATTAGAGATGGGGTCTCGCTCTTGCTCAGGCTGGTCTCAAACTCCTGGCCACGAGTGATCCTCCCGTCTTGGCCTCCCAAAGTGCTAGGATTACAGGCGTGAGCCACCACGCCCGGCCTATTTTATTGTTTTTACCTTAAAGACAGCTAAAGATTTAACTTGATCTTATAAAAATAATTCACTCACACAGCCTGTGGAGGGAGAATGACTGCAAATAACGATGGCGTCAGCGTCCCTGCTTTTTACCACACGCTGCTGTGCTAGGGTGTGTTCCTGACCAGGGTAGCACAAAGGATGCTCCGAAGATGCCCTGCAGCATCGTGTGGCTGCCCAGTTTAGGGCAAGATCAGTAGATTGGGGCATTTCCCCTTTTGGTCCCAGGACGCCCTGAGCAGGGGCAGCCTCAGTCAGGACAGAACCCAGGCAAGGACAGCCATGGAAGGTAAGCCCAATGCCTGGGGCTCAGGCCTTGCCCAGGCTCAGTCTGTCCCCACTCCCCATCCTGCTTCCTTCCCTGTCTGCCAAGGGTCACCACCCATCTGCTGTGTACGTCTCTGCTGGGTGCCAGCGCCTGCCACCTTCCGCTCCCACCCCTCTGGCTGTCCCCCAGTGCCCGCCCCAGGCGCGCAGGCTCACCGTACGTCAGGCAGGTCAGAAGCAGCAGGAGCAGCAGGAACCGGAGGAATGTCTTCAGGGATGAGAAGCGCCTGGAGCCCGAGGGAGGGCAAGACAGGGAGGCAGAGACGTGAATGGGGGCCCAGGCCTCTCCGATCCCCGGGGAGTCCCTTGAGGTTTTTTTCCTGACCCGAAGTAGAGCTGGGGGCAACCCTTGAGCTTATGGTGCTGGGCCGGACAGGACACTTCAGAGCCTTACCTGCAGCCCTTGGAGTGACAGGGACAACTGTGACTGTGAATTTTGTTGATGTTATTAAAAATAAATAGCGTGGTCTTTGAAAAACCCCAAATTTTTATACAGAGAGGTCCTCTAAGTAAGCAAATATAGAAAAACAAAGTAACTCCTCAGACAAACAATATTTTCTTTTAGAAGAAAAAAGGAACTTTTTTTTGGAGACACAAATCTGTCCTTGCCCCTCTTCTGGACGGAGCCGCTGCCCACCCAGACCTAGATTATGGCCAGAAGGACCCTGACTTCTCGCTTCAGTCTCCTTCCCTCTGCTCGGGGTACCTTCCCAGATCCTGGTTCTGCTGGGTTAGGGCCTTGGAGAAGTAACCTAAAGCATCCTCAGGCAGCACCTCTCTGTGGCTTCTGACCATGAAGGGGACCTTGGGGGTCTAGACCTTCCCAGGCCCAAGAGGGAAAATGGACTTTCTGGGAAACCCCACTTCTCGGCTGGAGCCTACCGGCCTAACCAGCAGGAAGAAAGCCACCCGTTATCCGAGAATCCGAAGTGGCTTTGATTGGAGTGGTTTAGTGGGAATTGTCTAAGACGAAACAAGAACCCGTGTTGCAGAACACTGCCCCACAGGTATGGATTTGGGGAGCAAACCCTGACTCTGAGTCCCCCCTATCAGGAGAGGTGGACTCTGCAGAGGCCGCTCCGTGCTCCCTGACAACAGCTCCAGGTGAACGGGGAAGAGCCTTCGGAGTAACGACCACTCCAGCTCGGGACTTTATCAGTCCCTTCCGGCCCAGGGCTTTCTGATTCACTGTCAAGGCTGGAGTCTCGCTCACCTGGTTAAAACGAAGACGTCCAGGAGAGAGGCAGCCGTCGTCAGGCGGTACCAGGTGGTACCAAACCACCAGTAGAGAAGTCCGAAGAGCCGGCCTGAGAAGGTGACCATGAAGCCTAAGGTGTCACATCACAGTTTGGAGCACTGCTCTCTCCACCCATCTGCCGTCCTCCCTGCCCCCACCCCGACACCCACCGGCCATGTGTCTGTGTCCTGTCTGACAGTGACCCAGTCCCTCTGGTCCCACCTGCCCACTCTGCCCACGCCCTCTGTCCTGTTCTGCAGCTGCTTCTGCCCTTCCAAGCCAGGATGTTCCCCAGAATCTGGGCTCCCAGTGATTATTCTAGAACATGCTTTCCCGGATGGTCCTACAGTCTCTCTGTATGGGCCGGATGCTCAGCTGCAGAGACATGGGTTCGAAGTTATCGCTGTAGAGAGTGGAAGGAACTGAGTGCAGCTTAGCCAGCACCTACCTGGAGAAGTGACCACCATCCAGAGAAAGGAGCCTGCCTGTGAGACGGCGCTCCTTAACCTCGACCCTGAACTCTGCTGGTCTGTGTCTGAGTAGCCTGCAGCGAAAGAGGAAAGGAAACCAGCTCAGCTGGCCGTCTCTTTCAAGCCTCGTGATGTGGAGACTGTCTCTCCTCCCTTCGCTGTCTTCTGTGAACCGAGACCACACATCACCTAAGGGGTCAGTCACGCATTTCACAGAGGATTGCTGACCACCTACTATGTGTGAAGCCCCACATTAAAGTGCTGGAAATGAGCTCCACGGGACAGTGCTGGCCTTAGGTTGCCCACACAAGCTAGAGGGGGTGGGGCAGGCAGAGATGTGAGCAGCAGTCACAGCCCAGGGTGGGGAGGCCACCACAGGCCCCAGCAGAGGTGCGGGCTGTGTGCCCAACTGCCCGCCACCTGCCTTGCTCTTTCAAGCTCCCCGAGTGCTCCTTGCCCAGGCTTCCCGTGCCCCCCCCCGCCCCAGCCACAGGTCCTGCTCGAGGAGGGAGGAAGCATTGCCTACCCACATAGTCATCCTCGGAGGAGTAGCCAGAAGAAGAGCCGAGGAAGTCCTCGGAGACCTTGCTCTCCGCGAGCCCGTTCACCTTGCTGCTCTCGGTGCCACCTGTGCCTCTCCTCCTTCTCACCCGCAGGTCTTCACCTGTTCAGGGAAGAACGAGGGGCCCTTCTGGGCTCCAAGAGTCTCTGCAAAGTTGGGTCTGGGCAGAGGGGCGCTCTGAGAAGCAGGGTATTCCGGAGGACCCCCAGGGACACTCTGAGGAGCATCTCAGAGGACGCAAAGCCGGGGAGAGAGATCCCACACTCACTCCAGTAGGGGTCGCTGTGCAGGTCTTCGAGGGCGCTCCGGGCCAGGGACGCGGCGCGGGGGCTGCCTATGTAGGACTCCCGGACCATGGACTCGCTGTAGTAGGAGGTGTGGGCATCAGAGGAGGGGCCCAGCTGTGGCGCTGGGGACAGCCGCTTCATGTTGCTGGATTTCCTCCTCAAGGTCCTGTGGCACAACCGCGGGCAGAGGCAGGAGCAGGGAGGTGAGCCCAGCCGGGAACACTGGAGCCCTGCTAGGGCGTGGGTTGGCCCTGTTGCTAGGCAACCAAAGCGCCCATCTCCCGCGACTGTTCCCAGCGCAGGCACTTCCTCTGCTCCTCTTATCTCGGAATCCCACGAGCAGATAGGCAAGGTCAGCAGGATTCCAACCCAAGTCTCTAACTTCGAAGCCAAAGTTTCTTCCCGCGCTTCTTAATGGCTTAGTAATTTTTACAACCCACTGAACACCTCGCCAAACCCGACCTGGCCTCCTAGAGCCTACCCAACCTCACCGGCCTGGAATCTGGGCCTCACGCCTGCGAGGGGCAGGACAACCAGGCCGGTGCCCGCCTCAGCTCGTCTGCCAGGGCCCTGAGGACTTGTTCCTCTCCTCAGCTGTGGCGCTGGCCAGCTGCGGAGGCCCGACAGGTGGTGAGACACGGGCGTGGGTCCAGGAAGGACGGTCAGAGTGCCGCGCCGCACCAGAGCAGAAGGGGTTCCTGTGAGCCCAGCTTGCAGCTTTGGGGTTTCCTGCCTGGCTTATGCCCGAGCTGCCTCTCCCCACTTCCTGTCCTCAAGCGCTGAGGGCAGCAGCGCTGCCTTACAGGACGGGGAGAGGAAGGGGCGCTGGGGACTGGCATCCCCACAGAAGTGAAGAAAGGCAGAACCCCCTTGACTGGACATGAAGGTTGCAACAGGAAGTCACCTGCTCTGCGGGGCAGTGGGAGGGACGGGGCTGTGGTGCTTCCTCGCGTCCCTACCTGAGAGGACTGTCTTTAAACAGGGTGCTCTGGCTCCCGGTGACTGAGCTCCCTCCACTGCTGCTGCTGCCATCATCGTCACCCTGGGAGTAGCGCGTAAGGCGCTGGCTTCTTCGGGACATGATGAGGTGGGATGTGGACCCTTCCTCTGAAGAGAGTTTTAGGAGAGAGAGGAGAACCATAAGTGAGGCTTGGGGCTGTCCCCAGGTCCTCCATGGAGGGGAGACAGAAGCATTGCCTCACAGCAGAGAACAAACCGCCCTCCGCACTCTGTGCAGATGGTCCTGAGAGGCGGTGGGGTGGGGATTTGTGAGGCTTCTCCCGGCCGCACACCCAGCTGCGGTCCATGTCCGGCCTCACTTAGGGATTGTGGAGCCTCTTCCAGGGTGCTTTCCACAAGATTTTCTAATTTTCAGTTTCCTTGTCTTTATCCGCCTTGGTGCTGAGCTCCATGTGAGCCAGAACTGGGCCTTCCTCAACCTCTGAGGAGCAGCAGAGAATCCAGCCCATGACAGGCACCCATATGCCTTTGATCCCTGCCCTGCCCGCCCTCCCGTGCAGCTGTCCCACCTGCCCTCTCCCTAGAGCCGCGTCCAGTCTCACTCTAGGTGTTTCCCTTAGACGACATGTGCTTGCCTCCTGTCCTCGTTGTTTCAGTGCCCCAGTTGAACCCTGACTCCAGAAAACCTTTCCCCAGTACACCCCGCCTATGTTCTGACGGTGCTTGTATTCTGTGCCCCCTCTGTGCACGTAGTGCTGCAACATCTTGATAAGACGATGATGATAAAACACTCAGTTAAATGCCTACTAGATGCCAGGCTCTTTGTGCACCCCATTTCTGATCCTTACAAGCAAGGCGGGTACAACCACTTCCAGCTCCAAGGGAGGAACCTAGGTGCTGAGATGATATGGGCACTTGCCTGGCCTGCAAGTGACAGAGCCAAGAGCCCAGGTTTGACCTCCGATCTGACAGGCTGCAGGGCCCAGGTCTTTCTACTTGGCCATAAAGTGTTCAAGTTTTTTCAGGAATGTGTTGTGTGTCCCCAATTAGAGTCTTTGCCAGCGCCGCATACGCTCAGAACAAGGCTGTCTACAGAGTCATTACACAACAAGTATGTGTTAGCAAACTAATAAAACAGGGAGGTGGAGCATAGTGTGGGATTATAGTCAGTCCCAACCACCACGTGGGGCAGAAATCAAGGCTCTAGAATTGATAATGAGGATAAAGGAAGCCAAAATGAAAAGATCTGGCCAAAGGTGGGCACTCTCTGACATGAAGATTAATAACCCTTTCAACTCCAGCAACCCAAATTCAAAATCTCCTTTGCTGTCCCGTATTACAAAGTCATATGTTAAGCCCACTCAAGAGTTCCTAGTACTTGTGACTTTTTATCACTTCTAATATTCCTAGTTGACAGTTAAATTACTAGTTCTGTGGGTTGCGTGGTGGGCGTAGACTAACACATCCCAACCCAGACTATGGAAACCAGAAGGTCTGGTTAGTCCAGCTAGAAAGTCCTCTTCTGAAAAACAAGCAGCCTCATGTCTTGGCCTTATTGGCATCTTCCCAGGTAGGGTGCCCATCTGGCATCCCTCCCTGGTTTGCACTGTGTTGGTAAAGGGACCCATTGGTAGTAGCCAAAGCAGGAAGTTGGCCTGGGTCCTTGCCTGTATTCCACTCCTTATAAGGTCATCCCACCCCCACAACTGCCCTCCCCCACCCAAAGCTCCAGATGCCCACAAAGGGCTCTTCCTCTTAACCTCTACCCTGCTGAAGTAGATGGAGCCTTCGCCCTGGCAGGAACAAGGCAACATGTTTACACGGCACCCAAGCTGCTGCTGGTAAAAATCTAAATATTCTGCCAGAGGTGATGGGGGGTGCTGAAAGCTGTCAGCACCTGCCTCCACCCTCCCAGAACTCCCAGACATGCCTCTTAGTCTTTCCTGCAGGGTCCTGGTATCACAAAACAGTTTCCCATTGAGTCTGGGTTTCACAAAATGAAAAAGGTGGAGGCCCCATTCTCCAAAACAAGAGGCGAGTCTCTAGGAACTCAAATCTTTTGCATTCCAGAACAGACCTCCTCCCACACTCGCACAATCGGCTAGGAAACCCTCAAACAAAACATACCCACTTCTGAGCTGAGCTACCTTTTCTCAATTCCATCCCTCCTGTCCCCATCGCAAACGTATATGGCAGTATTCATCAATATTCAGACTTATCCTAGATCTTGGGCATCTTCCTCGTGACATTTTCACTCCCCAGGCACGGTCACACTACATCCCGTGTGGGAGCTGCCAAACGCTCCGGGTGCTACCCCACCACCTCACTCGGCGGGGTTGAACCTGCAGAAATTGTCACGAAAAGCTCGCCTTCCTGGCTCTCGCTCTAAGGCACACCCCGCCCCCCATTTGCTTTGTTTTGTTTTGTTTTAGAACTGAGCGAAATGGGCCTTCCTCCTGTCCCAGAGTTCTGACAGGCGGCGGCAGAGACAGGAAACTGCCTGTCCCTGGAAACTGCCCGTCTGGCACAAAAACTGTAGGCACTGCCCTGGGCCGGTTTGGGGCAGCCGAGTCTTTGCTCCCCTCCTCCCGGGAGGCTGCCCAGGAAAGTCCCGCCTGCAGACACCGCCCTCCCGGCTGACCAGTGGGGCGGCCCGCCCTAGGGGCTGGGGCCGGCCAGGCGATGAGTCAGGCGGCCGGCCTTGGCACGGCGCTGGCCCTTCCCGACCGGCCCAGGGGCGTGCGCCGGGCGGGGGCTGGAGCCCGGCCCAGCTTGGCCCGGAGAGGAAGAAGCAGGCCTGGCAGCTCGGCCCCGGCCGGGACGGCCCGACGGTGACCCCGGGGTCAGGCCGGGCCAGGGCCCGCTGGGAGGCAGGCCCACTACCCTCGCCCCGCGCGCCCGCTCGCAGTTACCTGCTGCCGCGGCTAGTCCGTGCGGGGCCGGGACGTCCGAGGCCCGCCGCGCCGCCCGGGCGCGCCCCCTTCACGCGTCGGGATCCCGCGGGCGGCGCTGAACGCAGGACCGAGGCGGCGGCCCGTCCGGGCCCGGAGCGCGCGGGCGCGCGGGGAGCGGCGACGCGGGACGACGCGGGGCTGGCGGACAATGAGACCGGCTGAGGCCCGCGCTGCGCGAGTGGGGCCCGGCGGCGCGCGCGTGGCCGAGTGTGTATGTGTGCGCCTGTCAGTCAACGCTGACAGGCCGCAGCCCATTGGCCATGCCCCGCCGGCCGTCACCGCCCACCGCCGCCGCCCATTGGCCGGTTTGAACACAAAGGCCCCCGGCTCGCTCCGCCCCCCGCGTGGGCCTGGCTGCCCAGCGCGCCCCGCCTTGCAGTCCGCGCGTGGGAGGCGCGGGGCAGGCTGCGACCCCTGGGCTGCGGTGGGCCTCCACTAGTGCCTGCATTGGGGGTCGGGCCTGACTGCACACTGGGCTCCCGGTCTGATGGAGCAAAACACCCCAGACCGCTCCGAGCGCCCCCACGCGCGCCTCGCAGGCTGGCTCAACAAGGCCGGGCGCCAGGGCCTTAAAGGCATTGGGTGACTAGGGGCACCGCCTCCCTGAGATGGCCCGAGGAAAAGGGGGGAGCCCACCTCCAGTGGTAGCCCTTAGTGTGCTCTGGGTAACGTTTGTTGAAGGCTTGCTAAACGCCAGGCACTTGCGTGATTGTCTTCGGAGCCAGCCATCTCTACACTCATTTTACATACAAGGAAACAGGTTCATAGGTGTTTTCAGCGATTTGCTTAAAGCCACACTGTTAGAAAGACAAAACTAGATTAGAAGATTCTGTCCATATCCAAGCCCGTGTTCCTTCCAATTTAGGGTTAGTTTGGGGATTCTAGACATGTACAAGGCTCTGCCCCTTCCCACTCCGTACCCAAAGTACAAAGTTCCACGGCAGCTCTTTGTTTTAAGGAGGGAGCTTGCCATAATTTTTGCTGAAAGAAGGCAGGACTGGCTACGTATTCTTCTGCCTTACTCAAACTTGGAAGAGTGCTCACTATTTGAGTAAAATACTGCCTGACTCCAGGGGTCCTGCTCTCCACCGGCCATCTGGCCATCTGCGCAGATGCAGCAAGTGCATGGTGTGCCAGGAGTCACTTCCTGTGAGAGCTCTTCTAAAGGAAGATGAAACAGAGTGTCACGCTTTTAAAGTGCCAAGAGGAAGCAAGAGAAGAAATAACAAAATCACTGAGGCAGGCACAGGAAGGCGCTGGGGTTAGGGGATTGAGGAAATGCAAAGCCCTTATGCTAAGTCCGCTGCAGCCCAACTCCAGACAAAAGCAGTCCCCCTTCCTCGGCCTCCACTGCCCCACCTGGAAAGAGGGGCATCACCTGCCCTTGCAGCATCCTAAAGACCACAGCGCCTGTCTGTGTTGTTCCTGGGTTTAAACTCTAAGCTCCCCGAGAACAAGGGCTGGCTCTACAGGGCCTGGTACAGGGCCTGGCTCTTGTCTGAGTATCTGCTGACTGTGAGTGAAGTGACAATTTACATCAGATTTAGGGGCAGAATCCAGGTAGGGAAGGGGCCCTCTCTTGGTTCCTCTCATCACCAGGGTGCTTAACTCCCCAACTCCGTCCTAGCCACCTGTAGTGGAGTCTCCACAGCCCCGCACCTCCCTTGCAGAGCCTGCTGCCTCCTCTCCGAGGGCTCCTTCCCAGGATGTGCTGGTTTGTGGAGCAAGGAGGCCGTGCAAGGCTCATGCCCATGGCTGACTGGAGGCAGCTCCCCTGACGCCGAGCTGCCTTGATGGGCCTGGAGTAGGTGAAATAACGGTCCCCACAGGTGGTAGATACTAATCCCTGGAATCTGTGACTGTCACCCTAACTGGAAAGACTCTACAGATGTGATTCAAGATTCTGAAATGAAGATTATCCTGGCTTAACAGGGTGGCCCTAAATGTAATCACAAGTGTCCTTGTAAGACAGAGGCAGAGCAGAAGAGGAGAGCGCAATGCGACCATGGAGGCCAAGATTGGGGTGATGCGGCCACATGCCAAAGAATGTGAATAATTATACCTGTCCTGTCTGCCACACCGATTGGCTCTGTGACCTTGGACAAGTCGACCAGGCTCTCTGGTCGTTCATTCTTCATGTGTGAGGTCAAGTGCATAAAGGAACGTGGAAGACCTTCAAATGCTGTTCAGTCACTAAGGGCTTTTGTCACCTGTGGTCTCTGGGGGGTGAAGGGAGGAGGTTGGGCCCCTGGTCTGTCCTGGACCCATAGTCAATGTCGGGTGGGCTTCTCTGCGCCCAGAGACCAGGCTTCCCCTGTTACACCCCATGTGGAGGTGGAATGAGCTATGTACCTGTCTGCCTCCCCCATGGACCCTGGACAGTGACAGGTCCACGGTGGTTCCTCAGTATGTTTGTGTCCAATGAACACACGAGCGAGGGAAGAGCCTCCAGTCACCTCCCTGCAGCCAAGGCCACATCCACTTCTCCCTCCCTCCTGTTAGCATCAGTCAGCAGCCAGCGTGTTGGCGGCGTCTGTCATTTAACCATCACAGGCAGACCTTGACGGGGGTGGGGGACTTTCATGTCAGGCTTCCTGGCTGTGGGAACACATTTGGCAGCTGTCAGGGGGTGGTGACCTCAGAGGAGCTTGGTGCCCTCGACTCCTGGGGGCTGTTTCTCTCATTCTCAGGGGTCTGATGTGGGCTCCCTCTCTACCCCACCCAGACCAGGGACACGGCTCTGTATTTACAGACTCTTTTATCCTGAGAGCTCAAAGAACTCCATCATCAGATGACAAGCGCAGTTAAGCTGTTTTTATGGAAGAAGTCCAGTCTGAGGGGAGAAAGGTTACAAAGTGGGTCAGCGAGGGCGTCGGGGACAGAACATGGGTCCCTGATCGAGGTGGACAGCCCCAGGCATGCAGAGATTTGCCCAGACTCTAATGGATGACTGTGCCTTAGTCATCTCTGTCCCCCCACACCTGTTACGGTGCCCGGCTCCTAATAAATGCTCAATAAATGCGCATCGACCAACTGCCTGACTGCAGCTTCCCAATCTTCAATCGCTGACTCCCTGGGGTGGTTCTGACCCCCTGTGGGCCTCACTTGCACCCCCAGGGCTGCACCCTGAGGCCTCTCCCACTCCCGAGCCTTGGCCTGGGATGCCCTTTTCTCCTTTTCTGCCTGATGAAATTCTACTAATCTTCCAAGGACAGACTCACACATCTCTTCTTGAGTGAAGGCTTCCCTGCCCCCACGTTCCCGAGACAGAAGCACTTCTCACACTGTGTTCTGGAACAGGAATAGTATTTGCTCATCGCCCCGGAGGACGGCATGAGGATCTGACAGGCTGATGCCTGGCTCTCAGTACGTGTGAGCTCCAATTGTCAGTCACGGTCGCCAAGGCCTCCAGCACAGTGCCCTGCCCAGGGTGTCCTGCTGGCATGGAGAACTGTCCTGAATGTGCTGTGTGCTAGAAGGATGGTTGGGGGTGCTGGGCCCCCGGAGGGCATGGATCCATGGGTCAGAATTTCCGGACTTGCCAGATGTCTCTGGAAGGTCTTTCCTCCTGGAAACCGACTCTAAACCTCTGACACACCCACCAGCGGCTCCACCTCCCATGGGAACATTGCTGCACCAGTGGTCCAGCAAGCAGGCTTGAGACTCAGACACTGAGCAACTTGGAGAAGTCATTTAACTTTTCCTAGCCTTGATGTCCTCATCTGTTGAATGGGGATGATATTAATGTGTCTACATCACAGGACCTTAGTACAGTGTCTGGCCTGGGTAAGTGCTCGATCAATGCTATTCTTTTATTTATAAGCATTTATTTATTTAGCAAATGCTTACAGCCTGACTGTTCTGACAACACTCTCTAGCGGCCGCTGGTGGAATAGGCAGTCAGATGAGCAGATCATGGCCAGGTACCATGGCTTATGCCTGTAATCCCAGCACTTTGGGAGGCTGAGGCGGGAGGATCCCTTGAACCCAGGAGTTGGAGGCTGCAATGAGCTATGATAGCACCACGGCACTCTAGCCAGGGTGACAGAATGAGACCCTGTCTCAAAAAAACAAAACAAAACAAAACAAAAGCAGATCATTACAACTCAGTAAGACATGTGTGCCCCAGGAGAGACATGGGGCTCTAAGGGTCCCCCATGGCCAGGGCCTCAGTGTGACTCTTTCATGGCCCTTCCTCTATCCTTAAGCACAGGCTAGAGCTGGCCACCTGCCTCTAGCTTATCTCCTGTTGGTGGCTCTGTCACCCCATGACCAAATCTATGGCCTAGAAGGGTCCCTGTGACATGGTCTCTAATCGGCTCCTCCCCTCCCCTCCTTACCCTCTAACTGTGCAGAAGAGAAAGAACACAGCAGGCCTGAGACAAAGGCCTGTTTGCGAGGCTGGCCCTTGGCTGGCATCCGGGAAGCAGACTCCTGCTTTCCTCCTGGGAGTCTGGAACTTTGATACGTGTCAGGCACAGGGTGCCCACCTGACAGTCCCTGGCAGACGTTTCACGTGTTGTCACAACTCATTGTGGGAGGAATTAAGCGCGTGCGGGTGACTGCGGTGTGAGAAGATCTGTGGCCGGGGCACACCCGTCCTGACCGTGCTCTGATGGTGCTCTATGTCCTTCTGCCGTAGTAGATCACAGCTAGCCATGAGCAGGGCTATAAACCGAGTCCTGTGAGCCCTCCTGGTGAATCATGGAACTGGGGTGGTCTTGGGGACCCGACACATTAACCTTCCCCAGCACTCTGTGACGTTCACGGGTCCCAGCCTTTGCTCACTCTGTTCCTGCTGCTGCATGAATTGAACGTCCTCCCTCATCTCCCTTCCTGCCAGCCCTGGGGCAGTGCCGCTTCCTTTGGGAAGGAGGAATCAGCGGCCCCCTCTACTGACTGCCCACGGCCCTCTGCCCTGGTATCTGTGACCCTGCACTGTGGGCACTGTCCCTACCAGCCTGAGCCTCCTGAGGGCAGGGACTGTGCCTCTCACCAAGCACATGCAGGTGCAGAATGAGGCCCGTGTGAAGATTTGCAAACTTGGACAGTGACATTTTGAAGCTGCAACAAGGGTCCCAGGGTTG